CCATTATTGTGCTCAATATGGTACTCATCTGTTTTCATGGTGACTGTCTTTGGTGCCTGCGACAGCTCCCATCCTGTACTGGACACATTCTTTGCTGGCAGGGCAAGCCACTGTTTTCGTATTGTCACTTACTATACATGACACATTCTGTGCCAGCAGGGCAATCTCCTTTCTTTCTTTCTTTTTGTATATATATATTTAAAAAATCATTTCCTCAACTTATGACACATGTGTCAGCTGACCCTCAAAATGCTTGCATGGAGTTGTTTGCTCTGAACTGTGAGGGCGAATACTTGGACATTATCTGTCTTCTGTGTTGTGTTACTTGCTTACTGCACCATTCAGCTGTGCCACTTTTTATCACTTTTGTTGTTGTTGTCTTTGTCATATTTTTTATTTAAAGATATATGAATTGAAATGTCTAGCAACATTTTGTTTAGAGATATTATAGACTACTATATTTTTTTTGTATTTTAGTCTTTGCTGTGTAAACATTTTGCTGGTTGGCAAGCTGCAAGGTGTATTGTCCATTTTTTAATATTTTTTTTCTCCGAATGTTGTTTCTGTGCACTGTTTAGCACAGGTTGTTTGGTGTTCCAGGTGTGAGTTTGTGACTATGTCTTTTCTGGGTTTTTTAAAATTTTATTTTTCTTGAACAAGTACTTGTTGTTCACACAAGTATTGGGATCAACTACGTTCCATGGCCATGTTTCCTGGTCTAGAATCATTTTTTTAAAAAAATTATTTTTGTCATCGGAGGCCCGTAAAGATACATTTTGCTACCCAAGAATTACAAAGTTCTATCTGCCAGTACTTAGTTTTGAGAAACTTGATGTAAAAAATTTTTGGTTCCACATGTCGAGCTTTTTCAAATGCAATCCTTTGAATATTTTTATAACGACTCCGAATAATCATACGATTTTGATAGAGCAGTTCTCATGGTCTTAGTAACTCAAAGCAGCCAAATATGTCAGATAGAACTTTGTAATTCTGAGGTAGCGACTTGTACAGACAGTCCAGGACTAATGATGGTTCCACAAACCAGATGGTACACACTCAGTACAACAAAGTAGAGATGGGTTTTTTTCCTCGATATTTGTTGGGTTTGGAAGCTTTAATTCCCCCGTAACCCTTTTTAAAAACGCTTTGTGAACTTAATGTCGATATCGACCTGTCTGTTTGGCATTCCAGTAAGTTTCATAATTAATCTAGCATCTCTAGTGAAAGCTTTGCACTGGAATTTCACATTTCCATCTTTTCCTGGGCTGATATATACCATTACAAAACACAATGGGCTTTTGGTGCTTTCTGAAGTGTTCCATGGATTGCACAAGGTATATTCAACATTTTCTGTGAAAAACTTTTTTGTATCATGTATCAATATTACTCAAATTGTAGTAGGGTAATGAGTTTTCTGAAAATGTTGGAAACAAGCTGTGATGTTTTGTAGATTTGATGTTGAAATGCGCCTCAGAATTATATTTAAAATCTACTGTGGGTTATCTGTTCATAGCCCCATGGCAAGTTGAGGAACGTTTCGATGTATAATTTTGATGCTCTGAAATGAATTTTTTGTCGTAAGGGAAATTTGACTTTTTTATGCAGGGAAACTTCACATGTTTTGCTGTAATTTTTTCTGTGTTCATTCAATATTGGATATATGTATATGAAACATGTCTTTGTGAAATGAAATTATCCCTTGTCACTGACCCTTCGTTTTATTTTTGTTTGTTTTTGTCTTGTCTTTTAAATGTTACTTTAATGATGTTGAAGTAAGAGTTACAACAGAGAAGTAGAAATTAATTGGGAGGTTTTCGAAACAAAATTTATTTTTTTAGCACTTTTACAATTTGTTAGGCTGCCTTGTTTTGTGTTGTTGGACGATTTATTTTATGGGGTTAGAGTTCCTCTATAGAATGCTGAGCAGTCTGTTTATACTCCCTGTTGGATTTAGATTCCATCTTTTGCATCATTATGTAGCCATACTCTGAAACAAGAAGTGTCAAGTGTGAAAGCTCAAGACAGAGGCTGATGTGTATTTATAATTCTGGAGGCGCCGGCCTTTGCTTTACTTTTAGAAGTAACCATGAATTCTTCAGACCTTAAAATTTGAAATAAGTGGAGCATGATTTTCATGATATTGAACTTAAAAATGTAAAAATTGTTGACAGGGATTTCTCTTGGACGTTACACTATACCACAGAATTGAGCTATTGGTTTCTCATTCCACTTTTTCAAAATATGACTGTCGGTTGTTCAGTACAAGTTAAAAGCTCCACAGATAAAAGCAAACATGAATCCCCAAAGTGTAGGCCTACTGATATATTGCTGATGCTACTTTTTTTTCAAGAATGCTCTATAACTGAGCCATTGGTTGCAAACGATGAGACAGGCCCATTTCTGTAAGGTGCCAAAAGAAATGATTTGTGTTGAAAACACTTAAGCAAACTACAGGCTTTATCTGATGACAGGGATTAACTCCTGAGGTTCCCTGCGGAAGCAGCTTGTTGAAGATGTTCACAAAAGGGAACTGACGCTGTAAATTTTGAGAAATCCGATGAGTTTCTTTCTTGCACTTGTGTTGTCCCTCATTCGTTCAGAAGAAATGCTCTGTATTTTTTAATTAATTCTTTTTTTAAGTCTTAGTACAGTTCATATCTTTGCATGTAAATGCAACGGCCACACGTTTAAAGCTTAGAGTCAGAATTTCATGATCAAGTCTCTCCCATAGGAATTTCAACTCGACTCATATAACCAGTACCCTTTTGTCCGATACCTGAACTGATTGTTTTGCAAAATTTGTCCGATGGTAATGTCCAATCTGGACAAATTTTTTATCACACCTGATTGGTGTACATTAGAAACAGCCCACATGAGTAAATTTTGCAAGAAAGTGCTTGGGATGGCTTGTGTGCTTGTTGAGTTGTTGCCAACCTGTTTACAGGAGTCCTTCAGCACCTGAATTAATATTCGGTTCAAGTGAGAACTGGTGGAAAATCGCCCAAGCTGAGATCATATCTCCACAAAATTGCGCCAGCAGACAACCCAGATCCGTCCTGTCGAGCCTGCAAGAGGACGAAACTATGGACCATGTGTTCCTGAGATGTCCCGCCAGCTATCGTACCAGAACCCGTATGCTGGGACATTTCAGTAACCCATTTTCAGCACTTTTTAAGGACCCCCGGGCGAGTGTTGAGTTCCTGTGTGCTGTCGGCATCGCTGACCGTTTATGAAGCCACAGCGCCAGAAGAGAGAGAGAGAGAAGTGAAGTATTGCACAAATTTTGTAGCTTTGAGCCCAGGCCTCCTGAGTTTACATGGTCCTTTCAGTACACCTATTACACCCAAGGACCTGAAGGTAAATTTATTTACCCGACCTTGTGGTGAGGCATACGCTCGATGTGTGAAAGGGTAAATGGCACACACTCAGGTCTGTAATCCAGCCCACTTTTTGACATATGACAATATTATTATTTTATAATGATGATGGAGAAGGTGACACAAGATTGATAACATGGGCCCAATCAAGGCATTTTTTTTTTCTTTTAGTGGAGGACTATTCTTGCAGACTTTATTCTTTTCCAGACCATATTTTTGTTCTCAACTCAGAGCAGTCTGGTTCTTTGGTAATCTGCAGAATCCCCTGCCATTCATTCACCTCTTTTTGGACTGTCACTTTCATCATAACCGTCCAATGCACAATTTTCTTGTCAAGCCAAAACAGTAGTCTCCACCTTAACGCACGGTACTCGGGAGGGAAGTGTGCTTGTACACAGAGGGTGCATTAATGAATGGTTGCAACCATCTCATTTCCTTAACACTTTAGTGACCTCCCTCCCTTAGGGGGTGGGCAGTCGCTTTTGCCGGTAATGTGACTGTTTTTTAAAGTCGGCAAAGGATTCCCCTATCATGGTTATGGCGACAACAGAGGCATTAAATGAGTGGCAGAAAAAGAAGAAGATCAACTCATTGTACTGATGTGCACTAACATGTTGGGAACCTAAGCAAACTGTTAGTGACAGTCATAGGGAACAACGCTCAGCTACTCGGCTTTCCAAATAATCACTCCTGTTGACTCATCTATTGCTACTTGGTAAATATGCATGAATGACATCAGACATGAGACTGAGGAACTTTTCTCTTGTGGTTCTTTGAACTGAACAAGTATGTTATTAGCTCTTCGAGCACAGCTGATCACCTGACTAATTTTTTAATCCTATAGGCCTATCAAAAGATTAGTTCTACAACATTCATGTGTGTTGTGTGCATCATATTCATAGGCCTAACTAAATATTAGTCACCCAAACATCAGTGAGAAACTTTCTCTCTAAAGACATTTCAGTGGGCGCCCCCAACGTATCACCCAGTCCTAGACCTATGTATTAATTTAATGGACTGACCATCATCAATGATTTATTTATAGAGGCACCAGCCATCCATGTCCAGGTGCTGTTTTAGCCTGTAGACCATCATCAATGATTTATTTATAGAGGCACCAGCCATCCATGTCCAGGTGCTGTTTTAGCCAATTTAATGGACTGTTCGGTTTGAAAATGCTGTCCATCACTCTTTGATCTGCGTGAGGGGCAGTTTCGCCAAATATCCAGTTGTCTAGACTTATCTAATATGTGTAGGTCTTAACAAAATTTTCCCTTTGTCAAACTTACATGTTGGTGTGTTTCACCGTTCGAAGTGTGCGTTTAGAGGAAGTGACCATGCGTTTTTGCAACTAAGTTATATAACAAAAAAACCCTGCCATATGACGAACGCGTGCGTTTTGAGTGTGAACGGAGTGTACGTTTAGGCGGAGACTACTGTATCGATTCTATTGTTTAATTGGAAAGATACTTTTAATATTCATTTGGTCAGTTCAAAGAACATTATGTGCACAGAACAAAGAGAGTATACGTACTCACTACTTTTCTTGGAGCTGTATTTTGTGTTCTGTGACAGAAGATCAAGAGGTGCCTATTTTAATTTTTTGTGTATCTTGTGTTGTTTTGGTACTTCGTACCTTCTGGCGTTGTTAGATACTTATAACGCACTGCACATCGTCAAATTTACACTGTTGTTCAGAGTCAGAATAAAATGAATGCGTTCATTTGTGAAACCTGCTTTTACTGCTTTTTTCTTTGTTCCTTGGCTGGAGATTTTTTAAGTTGTTCTCAGTACACACCTGTATCTTTTGTCACCCTGACCATGTTCGCCCTTTGGTATCTCACTCCTTGCCACAACAGACATTCCCATCTTCTCTGGTTTCGCAATATACAGTGCACTTGTTATAGTTATAGTTTGTACTATGGTAGTAGTAATAGTAGGGACCGATATATTATAACTGTACTGGCAGTGGCAGCGTTTCCTAATTCTGCTTCCAGCATATTGAATGCAGTTTTTATCATGTATAGCAGCTACATGTACTTACTTCAGTCAAATCTGGACTGATTACCTTGCAAGTAAAATTAAAACACGAGTTCTGTTCTCAAGTGCAGTTGGTTTGCTGGGGCTCTAGTGTGGTTTGCTCCTTCTTTCCTATCAAACGTGTATCATCCTTCTTTCCTCCTTTTTTCTGTTTCTCTCTTTTAACACCACTAATCTTCAGCACTTATGGCGTACTGGTAGGTATACTACATGATGTCCTTATTGTGTTGCAAGTGCCGTAAAACTCGTACTAAAACTAAAACAAAATATATTCTCAAGTAGGAAAGATGTGAAAAATTAAAGAAAGTCTCCCTCTTTCTGCCAAGATCAAGATGTATCCCACCCAGCCAAAGTTGGCCTATGTAGGCTAGATTTACTGGCCCCGCGGAAAATTGCATTTTTGAAATAGAAAAATTGCAAGTTAAACTGCCTAAAAATTGCAACCTTCCCGTCCCAGGCGCATTAATACAGGATTACAGTTTTAGTTTAAAAAACATGACAATTTGAGTACCGGTAGCATAAAAAAAGCAGAACAGCCTTTAAAATAATCATGACCCACCGTACAAATTTTATTAACAACATTTACTAGATTAGAAACAACACATGAGTACGTTAACAATAAAGGTATCGACCAAATATAATATAATACAGCCTGACCCAAAATAACGGAACCCTCGGTTTTTAAATTTAACCAAATTTAGTAACCGGGTACTTGGTTCATGCAAAGATCTAGAAGTGTAGTATGAGGTTTAGTTTATTAAAAAAAATTTTTTAATGAGAGATTCGAACAAGCAAAATTAGCTTATGCCCCAATCAATTCAGATCCTATTCTATTTTTCTCTTGATACTTTCGATACACCGGTAATCTGTATAAAGATATAGTTCAGATATTTTCTTTTTTAAAACCAGTATGGTATTGTTTTGACTCCATGTCAAATCGTAAAATACAGCAATTTTTTTTTCTCCAATAGTAATAATAATGTAGATCATTTCTATAACGACCACTCCCGTGTGAACGCAGCTTCTATTAAGGCGTTTTACATTTATTGAGTGTCTACGTACACAGTAACCGGGCACCTAGCCTCAGTGTCTACGTACACGGTAACCGGCAACCGAGCACGAAGTCTCAGTGTCGTCACGTACACGGTAACCGGGCAGTTCAGAACTCCAAGTTCAGTTTTTGTCATCCGGTGTTGCTTTCAACTCCAGCCATCTCCCGACTGTACCATTTTTAAAAAATCAATAACCCCCCCCCCCCCCCCCCCCGACTCCGGAGTCCTATACTTCGCAGCGCGCAAACTTTGGTGACCCCAACCGGTACTCACAATGTGGAGAGAAAGCACAGGTTCACTGACCGGTCACGATGGCGAGCCCGACAAGACGCTTGTACATACAATGTATGGCTTTCTTTTTTTTTTTCAACAAGTGACAGCACAGGACAAATATTGATTAATTTTCATTCCGGTTACCGTGTACGTATACTGAGACTAGGTGCCCGGCTTCCGTGTATGTAGACACATGCATCATGTACGAACAATATTCACTCGCGCGCGCTCACGCACACACACACACACACACGTATACCTAACACACGCACACACATGCACACCACACACACACCTACTTACTTTCTTATCACACGCGCACGCTTAATCTTACACACATTAGATCTTTGTGTCTCAGTCTGTGTTGTACATAATGTATTCCGGCCTAAATCCTAAATTTCCGGTTACAGCTTTCAGAGTACGCCCAGTAGATTAGAGCTGGGCCGAAACCATGATTTACGTAGGCCTATCGGCTCTGTACTCGCACCATTTCGAATTAAAAATTCTGATAAAATTAAAGCGTCGATGTTATTTTGCCTAATATTGCGTGTTTATTGCGGAACTCGACGAAGAACGCGGCAGCAAGACCTTGATTTCGTGGGGGGGGGGGGGGGGGGCGCAGATTTAAGCAGCCTGCCTCTTAAAAATTAAAAGATCTAAGTTATATTGATCAGGATTCAGAATAACAGTCAATCTGATGACCTGGTCCAGATAGGTTAAGTAAGTAACCGTTCTTGCTTCTTCCATCTGGTTTACCATTGCAATAACCTGTGACATGGTAAAATCGGGCACTGAGATTAATGAAATCAGAGAAACACCTTCCACTCATTGGGCAATCTTCATCGAATTTTTTTTTTTTTAGCCCAACACCCTTTATGTCCACTTTCTAAACACAGTTCTGTGTGTTTTACTGGGGGAAAAAAGTTGATCAGAGTGGGGGGTTGGCACCAGCGAAGTCAACTGTATCAAGATCTGTTGTCCTTATTTTTCCTTTTTTGTGTTTGTTACTCTCTTGTAACACCTCTAATCTTTGGCACTTATAAGACCTTAAATATAATGTGTTGCAAGTGCCGTAAAACTAAAACATTTACTTAAACAAGATGACCTAATTGTATTGCAAGCGCCGTAGAACTTACTAAAACTAAAATAAAATGTTTTAATGATCGTTCACCAAGAAAGTAAATTTGCAGTTCCCAATGTACATTCTTTCAAGATTTGAAAATCACAAAACTTAAGCATCCGTTTCATTACTAATTTTACCTCTGAAATCAGGCGACCCCCACCTTCTTCAAACTCAAACATAAATAATTAATTTAACTTTTTATTCAAGATAGGTGAGGGTATTTTTTTCCTCAAAAGCAAGATGAATGAACAAGTTTTAAGATACTGTATACAGTCGAACCTGTGTAAAACGGCCAGGCGTTGTCGAGGAGAAAAGTGTCCATATAAGACAGGTGGCTGTCATACGCAGGACTGATCAAAAGGAAGAAAACAAACCATTTACTTCTGAGGTCCAAACTGGCGGTGGTCGCAGGCTCAGGACTGCCGTAAGACTCATGAAAATGTTTTTGTTGTTGGATGACGTTTTTTTGTGGGAATTTTTGTTTTTTCATTATTTTTAAAAAAACGATGTTTCCTTGAAAGGTCAAAACAAAACGAAATGTGTCAGGCGAGGAAGGCCAAGTGCCATAGTAAGACGAATGGGTCGCCACCACTCGGCGAATGAGCGACACATCAGTCCCGAGTTTGTGCCGACTTCTATTGTTATGGACTGGGTTTACAGACTGAGTTGTGGGCCGAGCGTATAGGTTATGTATAATGAATCACACGCTTCCCTTACCAGCAGCTGAAAATTTATTGTTACCCATTGGTCTACTTGGGTAAACATTGTGAGCGACCTAAGCAACATGCTCCATTGGAGGGACTGACAATAACGACAGGTGAATGAATTACGATGGCTTGTCCGGGGGCATGCATCATTTTTGACAAAGCCTGGTTGTCTTTGACGGATACATTTGACAGTGGGTCGATAAAATAGGGTGGCCGCAGCCGTGTTGGAAAAGTGCCCGTATTACACAGTTAAATTATATAGAAAAACCTCAAGTGGGTGGATGGAAAGTGGCCGTTTGTATAGGTGGTCATATAAAATAGATGGCCGTCATGGCAGGTTTGACTGTTTTCCAATAACTAATAACTACACATGCCCAAAAGTTGATTTTGATGAGCACCCGATTCCTAAATTGTTGTGACGTGCCATATATTGATGCACTGTCTGTAACTTTGTGGGCAAATGTTTTACGGCATACGTTATAAAGCATTTTCAGTTTGGTAAAAATTAATTTTGAAATTTGGCAGTGTGGCAGCCTAAATCTACTCTTCACCAAGGGATCTTTACTATTTTAACATGCGCAACTTTCATACAGGACTTCCGAGATTTTTTTACCCTTATCCGAGAAGGTTAGGTGTTATATCTTATCTATCCTAAGATCAGGGGTGTGGCTGAAAGACAGCTGTAGTGTAAGGAGCCAATGAGTAGCAGTAGAAAGGTTGCAGAAAGAGTCAAGAGCCCAGAGGAGGGGGAAGAAAATGGAGATGACAGAACACGGTTAGAGAGCAGGAAAGGAGGTGAAATGAGCAAATTTAAGAGAAGAAAATTTTCCATCACTATCAGGTTTTAAACCCGGGACCTATCGAATGAGAGGTCTTTCCCATACCTCAAACAACAACATTTTTATTTAGCCTACTGTTAAAATGGTCCAAGATGGTAACCCACTGTCCTGGAAAAATGAGGCTGTCTTAGAGATAGGTGGACATCTTGGATACTCCTGAATAGTTTTATTAATACAGAAAAAATGAAAGGGGGAAAGTCGAACGTTATCGTTTGTACAGGTGATTGTCTTTGGCGGGTGGATGTTAGAGTAAGTTCGACTATTTAAAAAATGCAATTTTCTAAACAGTTTGAACACGATACTGCAAATAAAAATGATGACCAATGAAAATTAAATTTAAATTTATGGTTTGCCTGCAACAACATGAATAAGTTAAAAATATAAGAAAAAAACAACTACAGTTTGACAAATCAGTAGAAAACCCCTTTTTATTTAGACAATGATTTATTCACTTTTCAAGAAGTTCCATTATAAACATCAAATTTATGCAGTACAGAGATCTTCTTGTCACGCCCTAAGCACAGGATAATCAATAGATTTATGCAAAAGTACAAAGATCAGGCATTAATAAAGAAGATGGAAACATGTCCCAAGCAAAGCAGCTCACAAAGACTCAAACTAAGACGATTGCCTCATATATTAATACAGCCATAACACAGTTAAAACTTGTTCATGTCTGTCCATTGAACTAGGAGATTCCCTGCGGAAGGAATGTTAAAAGTTTAGTGGATACAGTACAGTTGCAGCAAGATTGAGACACAATTGACACAATCATGCTACGGTCCCCTCTCCCTCCACTCCCATGTCACTTGTCAGATAACCCTAATCAATCAACACATTCAGTGCTATTACCTTGATAATCAAAGCTTCAAAACATGCATGTAAATTGTAAAGGATCTATCACTTGGCACAAGTTAGTTCAATAATGTGTCGTAAATGCACCTCTGTTAGTGGCAATGGCAAGAAGGATGAAGAAAAGCTTATACTACACATGGAGAGGTTCAAACAAACATAAACTGTCACACCAGCTATATTTAGCCGTTGATGGAGACTATGGCTATGGAATCAACATGTAGAGGTATACAGAGTACCATTTTCTTCTTCAAAGAAAGTACTGTACAGTGATGTTTTTTTTCACGTTCGTGTTTCTTTGCATTTTGCCCGAAAGCCTTGAATTGGTGATTTGAGTAACCTAGTGTCACAAGTGTCCCAATGTAGTAATACCCTTTTTAACATTTTGCATATAACTTCTTTGAAAATTACAAAATTTGCAGGTGTAAAAAGCAGGATTACTCAAGGCAGTGCTGTACTATTTTTATGGACATCCATGCTCTGAAATTTTCGCTACTTTTGAAAGGTCTCAACGAATTTGCTCTTGCAAACAAAATGAGCTCTGTATTTTTTGTGATAATACAACGACATTGGAAGAATCAAGGTCTCAAGCCAAATTCCTGTTATTTCATAAGCACCACAACATCTCCTTCCAACAAAGACTTGCTTTTTTTTTTTTTTAAACAGAATTCAGTATTACAAGTTTCATAGCTTTTCCATAAATTCCAAAGACATTAAAAATAGAAATCATTTTAAAATCATAACATCTGAATCTTAATCATAATGGACGACAGGTCCATCCATTCTTATTAAAATATGCAAGTCCTGATTTCACAAGTAAGTGTACAAAAACCTCAACTTCTCAACTTTTAACCACAAAGGCTGACTAACTAATGTTACACAAACAAACCAGTGACATTACAACAAGGTCAAGTGCAAAGACAGACAACTTAGGTCATTACAAAAGAACACAGGTGAAAATGTATGGGCAAAAGGAAATATTTCAACATACTTTCCCTGTTGTCAAAATACGGATTTCACTATGCAGTTGCACCCCTCAGACAACATATTGAAAGCATACCTTCACAGCAAGACCATTGAATTCAATAAAAATGATTTACAAATCATACCTATAAATAAATCAGTACAAATATGTAAGTGTCAATTAAGATGTCGCTCAAATAACACTTCTCTCAAGGAAACATGGCATGGAAGTGTGCAATTCCTCACACCATGGGGACAGCATCTGACAGATAATAATCTCTTATTCCTCTCAACACATTCGCTTTCCGATGTGTTCCTTCAAGGCAACTTGTGTTAAAGCCTAAAATCTCAAGACTGCTCTGTTTGACTCCGATACTGAAAATTTCTAAAAGAAGGTCAATGTTTTACAATGTCAGGCTGAATTTTTCCACTTTGTAAAAGTTGAAACATATGCACACTGAGAGAATGGAAACCATCAGTACAGAATTTTGGGAATACTCTGGAAGTCTACAAGCAGTAACTCATTACAATCAGTGGGAAGGCTCATTAACCCCTCATCACTGACAAGTCGCTCCCAGCAATTTGCGATCGGAACCGATGTGCCGGGGATCCACTAGCAGCGGCTCAGTCACATTCCTTTACGATTATTTTGCATTTATTTGCTGAAAGGTGGGAGTTTTTTCATTAGATGAAGAACTGTCAAAATAGGTTAATTCCTTTTTAATTAATGACCAAATATAGTAGGTACCAGAAACTAAATTTTCAAAATAGCCAAATTTATCTGTTCCATTTGAAAGGCCTATATCCACTGAGCATTTTGGTACCATTCTTTAACCTCTCAGTCAATTTTTAAGAAAATGGTAGTTGTTTAAAATTTGATCAAATTTGTTAAAGTCAGTCACTGGCTGCAACCCCATGTTTGACAGACAATAAAAGAGTACCAAGAGCACTAAACATCTCCACATTAATTGAGTACAATCACTATAACAAATATATGGAGCCTAATTTTTTTCAAGACTGTAAGATCATTACAAATCAGTATTTTATCGCCTCAAACACGATGATCTGTCGTTATTTCGACAAAAACACAGAGCGTTGACCCGGCCGGCGCCGCACCGGCCCCCGCGGCGAGCGAGTCGGCTCTATACTGCAGTGTACCCCGCGTGCGGGGTCACATGCTTTCCGAGTCTCACGGAAGGATTGACGAAAAATAATTTCAAGCTGATTACTTTATTTTAATAGGAAATAAACTGATCTTGTAATTAAAATATTTTTTAAGCCGCTATTTTACATATTTTGTGTAAAAAGTGATCTTTAAATATTTTGACAGTATTTTTTAAAGCTTTCTACTTAAACGCCAAAGGCGAAATATATTCCACGGGAAAGCCCGTTTAAAGCTCTACAGTTCTCCGCCAATGAAAAGACGGTATTTAATCATCTCTCGTTCCGCGAAGCATTTGAATACACGTGTGTCAATTTTTCAACCGGCCGACCATGCATTCCGACCGCGAGGGGCTTCGCTTTCGTCGGCGATTCTCTAGCTCCTAATAATCGGACATAAGAACAACTTACACAAGGTAGTAGTAGTAGTGTACGGCATTTGGTGTTTTATAGCGAAAGAGCAAAGAAACAGAGATCGAAATTACCCCGATTTCACCGATACCACGCGGTCGGAAGGCTGCGAGTGCCCGCGAGGCCGTGTTTACATTACCTAAATATAGTGATGTGTATGTCACTTTCAGGTTTCGTACCAAAGTACCAAAAGAGGGCTTCGGAATAGTGGGAAACCCCCGTCTGGAAATAAAAAAGCTAAAAGAACACCGCAGATATCTATTTTGAAAGATTGGAAGTGGTAAGTTTTCAAAATTACAAAAACATTATATACAACACCTACCCCATCCAAAAGTGGGGTTTAATATCACGGATCACACACACATACAGGTACAACAAGCCTGCATTTTTACATCATCTCTCAAAGCAGAGAATTTTCACAAGGCCCACATTCAGTCTGCAAGGAAAATCGAATCACAGTACACTCTTGCTCACACAGTCAAGCATATCATTCCACACAATCATGCAGCACAAGCACCCTCTTTCCGTGGATCACGTTCCCAGTCGCTGTCACGAAACCTGCTGCTGGCCTACCACCTCCCCACTGGTCACCTCTACACCCTGAAGAACTTCTGCCATCTCTGTCTTCATATTGGGGACTGGTGCCATAGCCACCTGAAACAAGCACAAATTAAAGTAATTAAACGCACTGATAAATGCTCAAATCTGAAGAGACGTAAAAACCACTTCCCCAGTGTTCCAGTGGTCCCAGCTTGTTTGGCAACATATAGTAGGCCGAGCAATGAAAATTCAAAAGCACATACAGTGGAACTCAGATTCAACCAGGATGCCGGGCCTGACCAAAAATCTTGTTGAATCCGAGTGTTCGTTATAGCAAACACAAGGTTTTGTGTAGATAATTACAAGCACTGAGCAAGTAAAATAAGTCACAAGTAGTGCCTGAAATGCCTACATATTATGAGTTGTGTAAAAAAAAGACTGATTAGTTCAAATGCACACGCCTGTGTCATCTTGATTGTTTACTAAAAAGTTGTGTTGCTGTGTAGAGCCTAGCATACGGCTACTTTTGATTCCATAGACCAGCGTACAATTCATTACCTAGATCTACGTCAAGACTAGCTTATCATTGTAATACTGATCAGTTGCCGGGGGGGAAAAAAAGACTGTGATGCATTTGTATCTTCGACATTCAACGCCCGGATCGCTAGTGCCCCCCCCCCCCCCGACACAGCCACACATGTGCAGCCCCCCCCCCCCCGACCTCGACACATGCCAGAGGAAACATGTGCGCATGCCAGCAACGCATGTGTTGGTATGTAAAAAGGCCGCTGATTGGTCGCATGCAATAGGCTCAGCGAATAATGGTTCACGGTGCAGGTTCAATGGATGGTTTCTGGGAAGAGATAAAGTTCGTTGTGGGAGAAAAATGAGCGAAGCTGTGTCTGCAGGGGTGTTCACCCTGGAAGCAACCTCATTGAATCCGAGCTCGCTGACTTAAGCGCTGATTGAATCCGGGTTATTTTTAAATTGATTTTAAAGAAGAAAAAGAAACGGGGACTCAATCTCATCTTGTTGAATCAGAGTTCCACTGTATTTTCCATTGTGCTTCCATCGTAAACTCAGACAGAATACTTGTAAATTGGAAGGCTGGAGGAATGAAACAGTTCATCTTAACTTTTGGAAATGGTGAAACAAAACATATTTGGCACAGCTATACTGCCCTATAAAAAAACATTCGCATTAGCTATTAAACACATCCATATTCACATGAAGACTTGAAAGAACATATTGTCCCAGGCATGCAACAAAGTTCCAGTTATCATATACAATATTCTTCACTCTGTCCTGAGAGCTAGCACCACCACACTGAATTGAAACTGAGCTGATCCTTTTGGCATAAATGAAACAAAACTATAAACACTTTTACATATATCCTCATGGATAAATATTACATCAAGCCACCGCTAAAAATGGCTGCCTAAAAAGCCAGGAAGTCTTGAAAGATGGGCTAGACCAAACCAGGTAATTTGTATAACTAGTCACCCCATCCTACCAATTTTCTTCGTCCCCTCACCTGTTGTATTGTCGCTTGAGCAGAGTCAGGCAGCGCCAGGCCTGTCATCTGTTGGTACATGGAGGCTGGAATGGTGACGATACCTGCATAGATAAAAAACATACATTGTGGAGGCATTTGTTGGGAGTTGTTGTACGGTTGTACCTGTAAGAATCTCACTCACCTATTCCCGTCTTTCATCTCATCTAGAGGCTCCTACCCTAATTGTGCCCAGTCCCCTTTTTATTTCTCTGTGAAATTGAAATTTCTGTTGGTCAGGTACATTACTTCTTCCCTCTACATCTTTATCGATCTCTCATCATATTCTAACCGAATCCATCATATTGAATATCACTTCAAGACTACAGGCGCTGAGTTCTTTAATTAAAGAAAAAAAAATATCAAACTCCAGCACCCTACTAGACTCACACTCACACCAAGCAATCTTGAAGGAAAAGTCCTATGTCCCAAATCCAAGGGGAAATATTTCAGGAAAAACAAGAAAATTTCAGGATATGAAGTTTGCACTTCTGCTCATTAGTTATGCACATTCAATTGGACTCCAACTGTTAGTTGTCTGCCAGATACCCATTGTATTTTATCCTTTTTATTTGTTCTCACCTCCAAGAGAGCCATCGCCAGATAAGATGATTTGTCCGTTCTGGCTTAACGTGGCTGCTGTGAACGCTGTCATGGCTGTTTGGCTATCAGCCATCTCCACGGTGACCGGGTTGACCTGTGACACCGGGGTCACTTCCTGTTGATTGGCTGCTACCTCAGCTAGTGTCTGCACAGCTTGAGTTGCTTCCTGAGGAAAAATTATTGAGAACATGGTCAATAGAAGAAGATACACATTTAGGACTAAGCAGACAGTCAACTAAAAATTACATTATTCTAAATCAGTTCGGCCTTGGTCTGTGCAGAAACAATTAGACAACAGGATATCAATCTTTGTCCACATGTTTATCACCTATACATTACCCCCCCCCCTCCCCACGAGAGTAGTGCCACTGACTGAAGTTGTCTTTAGGCCATCCCCAAAGGGGGGAGATTAACATGTTCTTATGCACAGTAGATTTGTAAATGGGCTGATTTATCAATGTCATGCTCATGTGCTGGTACAACATAGGGGGAACTGCTGCTTTTTCTTTCCTCATCCGTACTATCATCATTTTTCCTCTACTTCTTTGTATGTTTATCACTCTCTTGTGAACAGCTATTTCCAGGGTGCCTTGATAGTTGAAGCAGACTTTGTGCTGTTGAGGCTAGAGAGGTGAGCAGAGTAAGCCAGATTCCTCGTTTGGACTTCTCTGTTGACATCCACCCCTTGGCGTTGATAGTGATATGACCTTATGCAGTTGCGAGTGCCGTAAAACCTTACTATAAAAAAATCGCTATACATTAAGGGCGGGAAATTTAATTTTACGAAACGGTCCATGGAGCCTGGATCAATATTCACACAAGTACACTTATAGTCCAGACAAAAAGAGTTAAATGAAAATTACGGAGGTAAATTAAAAGCAGTGTATAGTTGAACCAAAATCTGTGTGCGTTGATCATTTAAAGAGTAAAGAGTGAGAGATCCAGAAACTGGGGCTGACCAAGAAAAGGTGTAAAAGCCAAGAACAGAGTGATACGAGGTATCTTTCTGCAGCCAGCAAATGGTTCATTCAAAGTCATAAGGACAAAGACAAATGAGACATTCCAGAAGTCGAGGTCTTATACACACTACAGACAGTTTTGTCAAATCCCTATTTGATATAGGGTTTTTTTGTTCGTGTTTTACAGTGCTCGCAACTGCATAACGTCATATGAGCGTATGAGAGGCACTAAACATGATATGGTTTGATGCATTTGAGGGCAGCCAGACTTTTTTAGGGAGGAACAATTTTATCAAATCCTCTAAAATCCAGAAGGCTTTTACATGTCACACAACATTGCTTGTTAGATCTTTTCTTAAGAGTACAAAATGTGACAGGCACATCAATCTTATCAGCCATAACTAAATTGGTGCTGTCATTCAGAATTCGTAAAGCTTATGCATCACTGACAATTTTGGAACTAGATCTCTCGTCCACCATGCCACCAAAATAACCATTGGCAACATTGGGGAAGCAGATAGTGAGACTAAATGAAAAAAAAATCAGGTACTTTGTAGAGGAACTTGATTAATAATCTGGATTTGAAAAGTGACTTGGATTTTAGGTAAAAAAATTGTCGGTGATACAACACACAGCCACTTGAAAAATATGCCTTCAAGCTTCGAATTCTTGCGAAGAAAGGAAGTATGATTGTCTTTATTTGAACTTGACCAATATTATAAACATGGATTTGGAAGACTGAGCAGAAACATGTATCTATTACACTCTATGTCGTTCTGGTGGAAGAGGCTTTAAGGAAATGACAAGAAGTGACTCCTTCTGACCGAAAGGAGTTCATGGACTTGTGGGTCAAATTTGATTCAGCAGAGGCCTATTTGATATAACATGCATGTAAGCCAGCACCACAACCCGAGCTCATCCGATCATGCAGATTGGGTCTGTTTAACCAAAGGTCATCTCTTCTTACCGTCATGTTGACCTGGTGTGGTCCAGCACTGACAGCATGTACTACTGTGGCCTGGGTACCGTCGGGGAGAGTGACCACAGAGTTGCCTGATGGACCCGTGTCAATGTGTATGATGGACACAGTGCCATCTGGATTGTTGATAGTCTGCAGCATGGTGCCTGCAAACTGTGCACCACTGGGCACAGCAGCCGTGCTACTCTCTTCGCTAAACACATGGAGCAGATCCTCCCGGCCGTGGTGTTTGTAGCAGTCCTTGACGATGGTGCGCAAAGCCTCAGTCCATGACACCTGACACCAAAAAAAATTAAAATAAAACAAAGTTCATATTAAATCATTCATATTTAAGTCAATGACCTGCACAAGAAATGTCAAATCCTCTAAACTGACAAGCTCATTCAATTCCCCATCATTACAAGAAATAAATCTTGGAAATGACAAATCATTTTTTAAAACTAGTCACAAAAATAAGTTTAAAGTTGGCAGACTGCACCACACCTGACAGCAATAACTGTAACCACAATAACTCCCATCTGAAAAGTGAAAAATAGGAATCCTAACTAATTTTTTTGTTCTGTGTGTCCAGGGCTACTGTAATGGTTATTTATTTATACTTTAGTTAAGATATGAAACGTTCTGAAAAGTCCTTATTAGATGTTTTTAGAAAATGTCTATGTTTCTCACACAGCTCATACTATTCCCTCATTCATATCAGAGAAAGACTTAAAACTCACAGACCTTGCCTTACATAGATGTAAATAATCAACCCAGCACTGTGTACTTACCCTTTTCTTCTCATCCTCGGAGCGTGCATCGCTTCGCACGTTGGCCCACGGCAGATCGGCGGGCCACCAAATGGGTCGACATTCAGGCTTACCCCAGCCTGGCTTACTGCGGCATGTTGAGTACTTGAGCATCTCGGGGATGAAGTTACGCAACTGGGCCTGACAGAGAGAAAAGATTAATTCGATATAACTTCAGTGACTTAATATTAATAGTATTAGACACAACATTGATTATTTCTAATCTAGAGCAATAAGCCTTAAATGTCACAGTTATAGAACAAAAGGAGGAAGAGAAAGAAGTGCGAAACGAAGTCAAAGTAATATATGACATATAACAGCCCAAGTTTTATGACTATGTTCACAATTTTTGTTTTGTCATTGGAGGGTGCACCTGCTGATAAACAGTAAATTTAACTTTTTATCCCTATCACAGTGATAGGAAAGGGAAAAAGAGAGAAAGCTGGGAAAGAGACTCATCACCTTTGGAGAATAACCTTCAACATGCCCTGTTGCCAGAAGTCTTAAGGCCCAATCAACACAACAGTTTTGCTCAACGTTTTGCAGAATCGCCAGTTCCCATTACATCCAACTGTCACTATCTTTTTTTCTGAATTAGAAGACCGTCTTGTACCTGTTAGAAAGAATTCCACTTTAAAACATGTTTATCATCTTCCAGGTTAAAGGTAGATATCTAAATGCAAGCAATAAAGCCAGACAAGACGTTCAAGAGATTCATTAAGCACCAACCCCTTAACAACAAGAACATCATCCCTCATGAAGACTTGAGGATTGACACAGATCCAAAGAACCAACAAAGGGCATGTGAAAACTGACCTGAGTCATTTTATCAATCGGTGTTGGAATCCCATCGATGACCAAGGGAGGTAACTCATGTAAGTGTGTATTGTCTCCCTGATTTTGTGCTGCTTGCTCTTGCAAAGCATTCTCCAGCTCCTGGGTAACTACATTGCGGCAGGTTCGAATCTGAAAGTAACCATTCAAAACAGAAAAGGGTTACAGGCTAAGTAATATAGCTACTGTAGAACCTTATTCTTAGAAGAAAAAGTGTGTTGTATGCACATAAAAATGAAAAAACATGAAAAAAATAATCATAATTTCTTAAGCATCAGTACGTAACATATCCAGACATATTAAAGCTTTTTACAACACCACACAGGTATTTTCCACCCTGTCAGAACAAGGATCAGACTTCTGAGCATTATGTTAATACCAGTGTATTCTACTGCCCAAGACAACTAAAATGTCAAGTTCAAAAGCAGCTCATAGAAAAGATTTAAAAAATCAAATCAATTTTTTCTTTTTTAAACATGCTTTTTTACTTGTGTAATTCCTAAAGGAACGTTATATTATTATTTTCATAGAGCATAAAATCCACAGGTGATCAATGATCAAGAGCTATACTGACAGTGACTACACATTCGAAACGTTATAAGGCTTATATTCTGTACCTTACCACTTTTTTTTTTTAAACGAAGAAAAATGAAGAAAGAAAGAATAATTAAACTAGCTTTCCTCCAACAATGGGCAGAAATAAAACTTCCACTAATGGTTTTACTCCAGAACTCATTTTATCTATCTCAAAAGAGTCTCTCAGATTAGAGACAAAACTTCCGCATGAATTCAAGGATCAAAGCGCTGGTGAAACAAAACGCACATATTTGTTATACCAAACATTGTGCACACACAGAGCCAGCAACCTACCACATTCTCCAGAGGTTGAGAACCAAACACTTTGTACAAGGAACTAGCTGTGCCAGGTGACCTGCCAGGCGTGCAGCACAAGACCACTGCCTGCTGGCCCACTCGGATGGTATACTCCTCTATGGTGTTTTTCAGCTTTCTATATCAGACAAAGAATCAAATGCAAAACATATTTATTAGTTATATTTATTTATTTTTTGGGTGAGGGGTGGGGGAGAAAAAGTTGCATCTCTGCACTTGCAATACGAGTAGGCTTACTTCATGCCTCAAAAGCCTACTTCATTTGAAATGTTCAACCCTCTTGTCACACAATTATAAACACCATTTTGCATATAACTCCTAATTTTTGCTGATTTGATGTCTCATAGTGCAACATCTTGGTTCATGACTGCGCTAGAGACATGAATGGTTCAATATAAATAAGTAATTATAAACACAAGATGACTCAATTTTTCTTGAATCACTTTTTTTCTCTCACATCTTTCAGTTATAATTCATAGTTACAAACACGACAGTCCATACCTTTTCACCTGATTAATGCAGCCCTTTTTTATTTGCTTCTGTTTGTGGAAACACACTCACATTAAGTAAACCTATGAATACTCATGTACACATACATTTATCAAGACATAAATGGGAATTATTTACTACGCACAGGATCTTTCCATGTCGTGTGTCTAGGATAATATAGTGACACTCACAACAAATAGCATTATACTACATGTGAGTCATGTCACGATGTGTTTCCACTTCCATACTCAAAATAATAAACAAAAGCCACAGTTAATCAGTCTCACCTCAATAAACGTGTTTGTTGTCTTTTCCGACGTGATGGATTCGTCTCAAACTGATGAGGGTGACCTTTCTTTTTCCCTGTGGCAATAGCAGCAGCTGCAGCAATTCCTACAGGTCCTGTCAACAAGAAAGATGAAAGATTCAAAGATGTATGTGGGTATCTAAATAAATGTGGTGATATTTTAAACTCTACCGATCTTATACAAATTGAGGAAGGAGTGTCCTAAAAAATTTACACCCACAAACCATGTTACAGATAGCATTAACCTGTTGCTGTGAAAGCAAGGATTGACCTGCGAATTCAACACATACTGTCTGTACCTCATGTTAGGAGTAGATCCGTCAAAAACAGACGTTCATGGTTGAGAAATATTCAACAAATTCATCAATAAATTGACTGGGGCTGCTGTACAAGGGAGCACACCTACCAAATGATCCACAATCTATCTGAAGAACCCACTTTTCACATGCCAATCTCAAATTGGTCTAATCGACTAAACATATTTTTCATACCAGTTGCAGAGTGCCATAAGAAAAACAAAACAAAACATGTATCACACTTCCTTGTCCCACCCGGTTTGCTGCACCTTAATATTAATTATTATTAACTCAGTTTCCTTGCCAGTCACTATAAATAACTCAACATAAACTTTTTATGAACTGTGCTCACTTAAGAAATGCATGATGTCTTGCCTCAATTAATAAGCTGTGTTATTAATTTAATATTTAATACTGCCCTTACACATGGAGTTAGCTATAGACACTTTATTGCCAAGTCAAATATTTTTCTTACCCGACAACTTGATCAATGACAATGTACGGCATTGCTTTCATTTTAATAAATTTATAAACATAAACTTCAAAGGCTATCTCCGTCTTGCTGGCAACTAATCATCATTGCCTACCTGCAGCCGCTAGCTGTGCTGTCACCTCATCCGTCATTGAACCATGGATGAGATCAGCAGCATCAAATGCACTCTCTGGTGAGGAGGGGCCATCACTCATTTCATCCTCCATAATTCCTGTGTTGATATGAGAGCCACCAATGGTGATTCCTCCTGTCATGGTGCCATGGACACCATTGCCAATACCTGAGTTCATCATCTTGACAGATCTGGCAAGATGGAAACAGAGTCTTAGTACTTTGACTTTGAACAAAATAACTTTTATAACATTTGTTGTATTAATAACATACAGCTTTATCGGGAGACATCCCAAATTGAATTGGGCATTTTTGTGGAATGATTTTGATGATAAAAGCAATTAGAAAGAAAAAAATATCACACCATCACCATCAGTATCCCTGGTTAAAGCTCTTGAATTTTGGAGTATTTTCCCTTTATCTTAAAATGAACTGAGGCAGCACGGCACACTAACCTCTAGCCTACTTTACGATTGGTAAGATAAATTATGAAACTTCTCATTGGCAACCTTTCTAGCTGCTGACAATAACAAATAAAAAGTATGGCAGGAATTTCATTTTTATACAAACAACCACTATAAAGTGTCATTGTGGGGAGGAATTCCATAACAAGCGACCACTATGAAACAAAATAGAATAGAGAGTTAGGGTGAAGGTTTGAGGTAGGGTTATGGGTACGGGTAGGGGTACGGGAAGGGTTAGGTCTCTTCTGTTTGTTGTGGTGGTCGCTCGTTACGGAAGTCCTTTCAAAAATAGGTCCTACAACACTACAACAAATTTAAGTGACAGCTCGTCTACAAGTTTCATTTTTTGTCTCTTTCATTCTCCTTTCCTCAGATACACGCACAGAGACTTGTCTGAATTGAGCACTGTAGTTTACTGATAGGCCTACATCTCCTCCCCAGACAAGCATGATTCAAGTTATTAAGTTACTGTGGGCTGAAGGACAGAAGTGTTGTTTGCCTATTATTCCTTTAGCAGGCTAGGCAGAGGCTTTTAAATTTAGCAAGACTGAGTTTGTCATATGCTAAGAATATATATGAAAAATGTAACAAGAACAAAATAAAAAGCCTTAAAGCGGTTGAAAAAAATAATTGAATGGGCACCCCGGACCCTCCTCCCGTTTTTAAACGAATGAAGGCTACTTTTAACTTCAAGTAATACTTTGTTAGTCACCTTTTATTTCATGATAAAAATAGCTTATCTTTGGTTTTTGGTGTTTTACGGCACTCGCAACTGTATAAAAGGTCATTTGACTCTTGAGCCCTGGATACACCGAACATCTGAGATTCTCCATTGAGAGAATTAAAAACTGGGGAAAATCATGAATTCCTAAGGTTGAGACATCAAAGTCAGTCTGCTGGTCCGGTATTCTTCAATCTTACCAAGGCTAGGTGCAATCTATCTTACCTATCATAAAAGATAAGGGGTGTGGCAGAAAGACAGCTGAGTAGGAAGGAGCCAAGGAGAAGCAGTAGAAAGAGTCAGGGGCCCAGAGGAGGGGGCAAGGGAGGTGAGGGGGTGGGGGCAGAAAGTGAAGGCGAAAGCAGACAACAGAACCAATGTCAGGAGAGAGCAGGAAAGGAGGTGAATGGAGAAAATTATAGAGATGAATCTAGATCTAGGCCTAGATCTAGATCTATCTCTAGAATCTATAAGAAAAAGTTCCACCCCTATCCGGATTAGAACCCGGGAGTGAGACGGGACCTGGAATGAGAGGCGAACACCTTAAAACCCCTAGCCCCCCTTAAACTTGAAATAGTTTGTTGAGATTGTGAATGTGACTGAGTGGGAATAAAAAAATAAATTCCAAAACTGAAGACTGAAGTAGCCTCAAGGCAAACTTTAGAACGTTAGACATCTCTAGATTCTAGATCTAGAATCTACATCAGAAACTTTTCTCGGGGGATCTACATCTAGAAATCTAGATCTAGATCTAGAGGCTCACTTTCGATAAGAAATGAGTTCAATTCTATTCGTAAGTGATGGTTAGTCTGACAAGGACATTGAACTGGGCTATGACTGTGGGAGAGGAAGGGCGACAGCGAGCGAGGTCGCTGGCCCCCTGGACTCTAGCAGCAGTCGACGTAAGCAGTGTAAGCCTAGGCTAGGCCTTCCTGGTTCGTGATTTGTGAAGAAGAGTGCCGGAACATTGAAAGTTGAAGGACGAAGCACGACCTCGATTTACGCAAACGACGGCCATTTTGATTCACAAGCAAAGAGATATTATTTGAATGAGTCTTCCATCCATAGTCATACAATATTTCATTCACCATTTTAATCATAGGATTACAACTCATGGCTCACTCAGGACCGGTCGCGACCATCAACAAAAATAACGAAAGTACACTCACTGCGCAAGCACAGAATTTGGGAAATGTGCAATCTGCGTCTGCGCTTCGGGCTTGCGCGCAAAGCATCCCAAGACAATATGAGTTTGGGGGGGACAGCTACTGATCTCTTCCAATATCAATTTATTTCTTGGAAATATTGCTATGCATCTAAATGAACCTCAATAGGGCATACGGCCCCACTGATACGTAATGAATGAGTTATACATGTGCTAATTTCAAGACATAATCGAGTTGTACCACCGACTTGAATAGTCGAACTGAGGGAAGCCATGTAGGTCATTTCACAGACCTACGATTGTCTGCGACTGCGCAGACTTTTACCTTGCTTTGCTTGGTTACCACTGAAGAACGAACTCACCTGTCCCGAATTAATATCCGTAAAGCTCTTAAAACAGACGTTTTGATTATGATCACATTGCCACTGAGACGAAAATTCAGTTGGTGACACAAGTGCCTAACCGCCTATTTCCCTTTGTTGAAGTTCTTCGACCAACTCGCTTAAAAGTATTCATACCCCAGAACACTGAACGACTTACTACTCAAAGCTCTTATTAATTCGATATTAAAGAGTGCGTGTTAATTTTCGTCGTAATTTGCAGAAATGAAGTGCTGGAAATGATTTCATGACTTATTTGCTATAGCATTTGAATATGTAAACTATTTTTCAGTAACTTTTATGTTATAAAATTGTCTCAATGCAACAGTCTTTTCTTGAGTTATTACGTCATTATGAGATCACAAGCACATGGGTGAAGAGGTAGCCCTGTGAATGTGACGTTTTTCGTGTTGCGTTCTGTGACGCAGTCCGTAAGATAACTTGACTTTGACTGAAATGTTTATTGTTTGTTTTCACTGTACCTGAATTTTTTTTGTAAATTCTGCAATTTTAAGAAAAAGGTCTTGGTTGTTGCTTTTATGTTGGGGGAGTGAGGGGGGGGGGGGGGGGGGGGGCGGTTGTTTGTTGAAAAATAATGATGAAAGGGGGTTATGATAGCTGCGAAAGGAAATTGTAACGTTGTCGCTTTCGAATTATTTCGAAATATTTAATTTCAGTGCATACAAATCAGCCGAACATTTATTATTTACCGTACTTCGGTAATGACACTAGATCTAGATTTAGATCTATTTGGGTTTTTTTTAAAACACCATTTAGACTGAAGCTTATTTTTAAGCACGTATAATATAGTTCATTGAATTGTCGAATGCAACGCCTTATTATTATATTAAATAAATGTGAGTACTTGGAAGTGACACTGACTGTGATGGGAGTGGTAGGTCTCTCCAAGTGGGTCCATTGCATGTTATGTACTCTATTTTGGTATTTCCCACAGAATGAAATGTAGATCTACCACTTTCAATTTTTAAGGATATAGTGAATAATGTGATTCTTTTACTCAAACGAAACTTTAAAGCAAAATCGATTCTGACATGTTGTCTGTTACCAAAGATACTATCTTTGCTGTTACTGTTGGCTTGCAGCGAATTTGATGTAGTGAGAAGTGTGGACAAATACTAATAGTCATTAATTAAAGTTTTAGTATCATGTTATACAAATTTCAACTGTCTAGACTTTCAATGTATTTTTTTTTTAATAGTCTAGTACTAGCATAGGCCTGCTCACTTTGCTTCTCTGGAAATTTGTTACGGTTAATCTTTTCGAAAACAATCCACAATAATAATATTTTATATAATAAATTTTATTTATAATCTGTGACATCTTTTCCTTGAAGATTTGTTCAAGGATGAAGTACCATGTCACTAGGCCTGCTACAATTTCTTGCTTTTTCATTATGATTATATCACATGTGTTTGATTTTTAATCTTTTTCTAAATTATTTTGAGAAAATTTAGGGGAGCTATGATTTTTTAAAATAGATCTAGATCTATATATGCCATAAATGCTCACATTTGTCCTAACTAACAAGAGATTTTTCATTCCCATTTATGTATTGTTGTATCAATAAGCAACAGAAACCAGTTAAGACGGTGCCGCCATGACAGCTTCCTCTTCGACTCGGCTTCCCCCTCCTGATCCAGTGACTATCCTATGCGACGCCCGGCGACTGGGAGTTTATTCACTGATATTTGGACCACAAGGCACAGTTCATGAGATGAGCCTTTTTTCCGGTCACGAAGAGGGCCTGGTACTTAATTCATTTTTGTCTTTTAAGCTAGCTATACTTTGATAGCAGACAAAATCTACAGCAGTTCTACACAAGGAAGTTTTGAGTGTACTGACATGGGTAATGAAGTAGCACATAATTTAATCAAATCAATATAAAAGCATGACAAGAAGTGTTTCTTTCCAATCCACTCCATGGTTCACATGGTTGGAAAGACTAAGGTGCCTCTCGTAAGTTAAACATCTCAACTCTCCATCTTTAAAATCTTTTGTTTCTTTTGGCCTATTTTACTTTTTTCCTCACACTGAGTGACTGGTATCTCTTCAATGTGTTTCTTTTTACTCTAGCTATGCTTTTTCTCATTTTTTTTCTTTAAATAAAACAGCTAGTGTTGCTTTTAAAGGTGTTGACTGTTGACTGAATACTTCACGTTATCAGTATTGATGAATTATACAGCACAGTGACTATTCAATAATTCGTGACTTCCTACCCTTTTCTGGCTTCCCATCATCTCTTTCTTGTGAAGCACATTGCTCTTGACTTTGCATATTTCTTTATACAGTTGGGGTCAAGCTTAAATTGAAATAAATACGTAAACACTGTGCATGCAATAAAGATCATGCAATACAGGTCTATATATGGAGAAGAAAAAAAGCAGACCCTTTGAAGAAAAGAGTTGAAGAATCTTTACATGTTCGACATACATTGTTCCATTTTTAAGCCTTCCTATTTTTTGACAATAGAAAATAAGGATTCGTCTTATTGTGGATCAATGATGGAGATCTTAAGAACTTTGGGTTTGCTTTTGTATTTTGAAAACCGGTTTGCTTTTCACAACTGCTTATGCTATCCAATGCAATCCCATTTTGTTGTGAAAATTGGGATGTGGCAGCATGCTAAGATTTTTGTTGTTGCAAAACTGTCTTTTGCGCTGAGAAAACAGAAAACTTCTTTCTATTAGGCCTATTATGATAATATTCCTGCTTGCAGATCATTGAATGGAGCTTGGTACGAAATCGCCCAGAGTGCTCATGGAATGCCCATGGTGGCACAGTGTTGTGGATGGACATCAGGAGTATGGACGGGAACTGTTTCTTGTTTTCGCAAGGTAGAGATGGCACCATCAAGGTCTGGTCTTGCAGTTGCGGTTTATGGACTCCACAAGGTATGGCACTAGAAATTTCCGCTGCGTCTCATTACACCGCAGCTTGAATGAAGTGTAACAGTTGGAACAATTTTTATCATTTCCCTGTTCCTGACTCATTGTTAAGGGCAATAGCCTCAGATGCATGGAACAGAATGGAACTGGTTGATGTTGAGATATGATGCTTACATCATACAAAAATACAGTGCACGGCGCACGAAATCAGCCGAAATCGCGCCTTTTAGTTGCACCGCAGCTCCCGCTGTCCGGAGGTAATTAATCTCCCGGCCCGGTACTTGTTGACCTTTTTTATTGGGGTCATTCGACCTCATCGCACCGTTATAAACTGGGATGCGTTCTCGATAAAATTGTCTCATTTACTACCTGAATTGTAGTTGTGCCGTTAGACCCACCAAGTAGTTTTAATTTATAGACTTTAGCAACACCATTTCTCCTCCTCTTAAAGAAAGTCCCAGTCTTCTAAGTTTTATACCAAGTGTTCCACACATGTCTGTTTGCTGCATGTGTAACACGCTTTTCTCATTTCAAACTGAGGATAAATAATCATTTATTGCAACAAAACGGTGCATTGAATTTTTTGGGATTAGTATGTGCGTGTTCAGTAACAAATCCTGTTTTAAGTGTGTAAATTTCAGTACTACCGCAGTTGTGATTGTTAAGCTACATCGGATTATTGCGTTGGGCCCGCGAATTTACTCACATTATTGCTGTATAAAACAATGACCTTAAAATGGAGCACACCCCTGAAAGTCATGTATCCGCTTTAGACAGTCTGTTTAGAGTGTACGGAAGACTGAACATTACAGGGAGGCAGAGAAAATCCTTTAAAAAGCCGTATTTATGTTCGGAAATAGCCAGTGATCTCTTCCTTGTGTTTGGGTGGAATATCAAAGATGACATTAGTGACAAACACTCCAAATTTATGTGTTTGAAATGTTATAAAACGATCTATGACGCTAAACTTCGAAATAGTGCAGTGTCCCTACAAACATTTGGTGTGCTTACATTGAAGACTGTGATGCGAAAACATACGCAGTCTGTGAACAGAAAAAAAAATTGCTCTCTCTTGGCTGTGCCACAGTAAAGCAACGTTACCCCCAGTCTTCCTACAGCAATCAAGAAACATACACATACCAAGCTAGTCCTAGCACCAGCATTTCTGAGACAGACACAACCACACAGAGTACATGTACCCGTGCTCTCAGCACACTCAACTCAAAAAAGACCCACACACAGTACAAGTCAGAATTGCCACACCAACCCTCAGTCTGTTTACCCAGTCAGTGACCAACACATAGATGTACAACATGCAGAGACAATGATTCAGGACATGTGTGTATACATAATAATAAAACCTATAGAGCCTTCTCAATAATTTGTGAGGAGTTAAATAAGGGAAATGTGTGGATATTTACGGCAAAGTGATGTATAGATCAACCATTTTCAGGTTACGGAAATTGCGGTAGCAGTGAAATTTGGTGAGTAGATAGCCTTAAGTATTACGTTTATGTCCCTCAAAGATGAACTTATCCTGATGCTCAGTTTTCTAATTATCGGCGCTCGTTACGTCATAACTGGAAACGCTAACGGGAATCAGATATGACCATCTTGCACTTTCTGTTACAACTAAACCGACAAATACTGATTCACTTTGTTTTTGAAAAATCATGGAAAAGGCTTGGAACTTCTGATTCCCTCATGCAGTGATATCTTTCTGTCAATATTGTTGCGTTAATTAGCGCTCAATTCAGGATGAAAAATACGATTTTCTAAACCTCCCGCACGGTCATGCTGACCAAAGAATGCCCATCAAAGGTCAGCGCGGCACTAGCTACCTGAGTTCTCAACTAAAGTATCCTGTTTCTGTGCGCCGTGAGTGGAGTCCGCTTAAACTAAACAACACTGCTAATCTGAAAAAACGGTAAATCTAAAGAAAATACAATCCCAGATTTAAAAAAAAAATTTCCTTGTAAGAAACCTATTGATAAACTGAAATGCTCACATCTCTAAACAGAAATTAATTTTGAGGGTTATAATGTTGTTTAATTCTTCACTAGCAACTCTCAAGTAATGCAAATCATCAAGTCTTATGTGTTTCAAAATAGAGAAACAGAAGAGAAGAAAAAAAGTCCTGAACACATGTGTATCAATTGCAGACAAGAGAGAAGCATTGCCAATGTTATAACAGATCAATGGGCATGTAACCCACTTCGTCTGTTGCGTGACCTTTGGTTGGCCATGGCTTATTGTCTATGCGAAACTAGTACACAGAAGCCTTTCACTACATAAGCATGTGACGACGGATGGTGTATAATGACGTCCCTGTCATCAGGCTTTCTTTTTCACATCTCTATTTATTCTTGCATCTGTTTTGTGTGACTGTTTGGCAGATTAAGCAAGTTGACAATGTCGAAGAGAAAGGGCAATGCTTTCTGCCTACAGCTCAATTAACAGTTACTTAAATTCAAAGAGTTAGATGAAAAAAACAACTTTCAAAAAATGAAATTTGCTGCAAGCATGGCATTCCCAACTCTATGCTGTCAAGAATCATCACTGTATTAACCATTTAGCTCCTAAATGGGGGCTTTCTTGTACAGTGGGTGTTGCATTCAACGAGAAGTCGGCTCCAACGAGGCAATACTAAATCCCAGATTTTTCCTCTATGTCTCTTTGTTGTATGTTAGCTCCAACGAGGTTGTAAATAGACCGAAGTCACCACCAAAGCGATAACCAAATAAAAGGAATTAACGGCTCCAAAAGCGAAGAATTCTTCTCCTTTCTCTCCATCTCACACAAAGCACAAGGCCCATCTTCCATTCCTAATGCGTTGTATTGCTAGATCTAGTGTGCCTCCTAGTACTATATATGGGCCCCAAAGCCAAGAGGATGGGTGAAGGTTGGCCTACGGTAGGTATGGGAGGGGGTGGGTGGGAACGCGACGCGGGCTGTGTGAAACTGGATGAACTCTGGATGGGTAGGTCTAGATCTAGGTCGATACCTTCATTTTTTTCAATTTTCTTTTCTTCCCCTGATCAGAAAATCCAAGGTCCCGCTTATGTAGATCGTATCTAGGCCTAGATGTGAGAGGGTGTTTCCACAAGAGAAGTGTTTTTCGAAAAAAACCTATAAAAATACAGAAATGACGGTGAGAACACAGCTCAAACACGCGTACACTGATGCTGTTTGAGATTTTCACCCTCCAGGGGAACAGCTGTTTTTAATTAGTGGTATGGGTACATCGTGTAATATATAATAACTAGTCTCCCCTTTTTCTTTTCTTTAGCCTTAGTCATGTTCAACGAAAGGTCGGACCGAACGAGGACAACAAACTGGTCCCGGCAACCTCATTGAATGTGACTCCCACTGTACCATATTACTCAAACTTTCAAAGTATCGACAACGTATTGTTTTTTATGTATTTCAGTGGAAGTCCCATCTGCTTCAATGCTGTTCTGTAACAGTTCCCTAGCAGTGACGATGGACAAGTTCACACTGGCTGCACCGAGTGAACAGCAGGCCACTGTTGACCTCCACCACATTTGTTCATCAGAAAAAAGTCGCCCCTTGTCCGTTTCTTACCACCATTTCCTTCGACCCGACAGCGAAACGGAGTATGGCATGTGCATGAAGATGCAGTTTTGTCCTGCTGAAGTTGAAGAAGGTGTTTCCAAGTGTCCCCTGCGGCTACTGGTGGGCTATGAGAGCGGACAAATAGTTCTGTGGGATGCAGACCAGGCGGTACAACTGAGTCTGCTCCAAGTGTTTGAGGAGCCAGTAATGTGTCTGACTGTGTGGTGCGCCACTGTCAACAGCCGGCGTGTCGCCCGGGGATGTTGTGGCTCCACTTCCACTGAACTGAAATCGTTTTGTGTTGGGGTGGACACAATAACCACAGACAAATCTGTATCAGTCACCAATGCAGGTTTTTCAGATGTCTGCTGTCGAGAGGATGCAAAGATTTTTGCCACTGGTGGGTGGGATAATGCAGGTCGTGTGTTCAGTGCAAAAACGCTTCGTCCCTTGGTGGTGTTGACCTACCACCAGAAAGGTATTGGTGCTGTGACCTTTTCTCAAAACAACAACCTAGCCTTGGGCTGCAGAGGAGGCTACATTACAATTTGGGATGTTTATAAAAACACTGGGTGATGTTGATATTTCTGTTACTGAATGAATTACTACCTTTTGTCAGCTTTGAATTAAAAAGTTAAAGTACTAAAAGTGCTGCTCACAGGATCAGGCACACTATTAGTAGTACTAGATTTATGCCTTCCTTGCAAAACCAGTGTCTTTCAGATGAAAATAAATGTACCTGGAGAGTCCCATTTGATTCATATCTTTGTTGTTACACATTTCTTTAGGAGTCACTTTCTGAACTTTCTCCTTGAATTATTCAACTTTAAGTGTGGTGTCACTAATTTACATTTCAACCATGTTACTCATCACTTCATGCTATGCATTTATTTACTTTATAGTGTGGGTGGTTCGCGAGTGCTCTGGTACCGTTTGCTCCTTCATTCATATTAAACATCTATCTTCCTTCTCTCCTCCTTTTTTGTGTATGTTACTCTCTTGCAACACCTCTAATCTTCAACACTAATGACCTAATTGTGTTTCAAGTGCCGTGTAATTTGTAAAACTCCTACCAAAACTATTTTAAAGTAAAAACCACATGGCTCCACCTTGTAAATAAGCAAGTTTCCATATACTAAATGATTTAGTGTACAAACCTAGCTAAACTTTGATGGTGTCATGTTCCAGTCTTCTTAAAATGGAGCAAATAGGTCAACTCATTTTTTGTTCTAAAACCATTGCTGGGTTGAACTGTGTGGTCCTCTAAAAAATCAGGAGTCAGCACGCACTATAAAAGTACTGTTGTGTACTGTACATGTAATAACTGTTGCAGTGTCTACTCCTATCATTTAAATCAATGGGGGTTTTTTTTGCCAGCTGAACAATAACTTTTCAAGAAACCTGTTGCATATAGAGCTAAAATACATCCATTTCTGTTTTCATGCTTAATATAGCATAAGGGGCCAAAGATGAATCATGTCTAAAGGAGCTAGATCAGGACTATGTGTGAAGGATGCTGCATTACCCTCCAGCGGTAGACTCAGTATTCAGTTAGATTAGTTGTGTGAGGAGTAGCTTTGCACTTTAGTACCCTTCGAGCCAACAATCCATGATACCCGAGATAATCTTAATTCCTAAGACAATTTCATGAATGATTTGTCCAAGAAGGTTACGAGTCATTGCAACCTTCCTAACTTCGCATTAAAATTTGAGGGAAGCACTTCACCAGGCTTGTTCTCCAGATTCATCTGCTTGCATTTAAACAAACTGCACTTGTGAAATATCCGAGACTAAAAGTCCAGATACTCCAATTAACCAAAACCAGCTCGATTTATGCCTGATGAAATTACAAGAAATCCAATGACCTTGCAATGCCAACAACACAAAAAATCAACTAAGAAAGTGGCCCAAGGCTTGAATTTCAGCATTTTACTTTCTCCATCTGAGCATGGGCTACCCCAACTTTGGCCTGCTGAAATTCAAGTTGTGTTCTCTCTTCTGTAAAGCTTCATTTTGGTATGAGTAAATGGTATACTTGTACCCTCTATGAGCAATACATTTTTTACTGTCTTTCTCATTTCGCCATTAGTGGCCAATCTCATTTTTGCTACTTTTGAGATAAATGGAAAAAAACTTCAAGAATATTTATGTTCTAATAATGTTAAAACTTGCCATGCCATGCATAAAATGGTATGTTTCTTTTGAGACTGCCAGCACGTTTTTGTTTCTGTTTGACCAAAACATAGATAGCCCTAGTACCACCAAACAAAGTAAAAGGCTAGTTGCATTTTGGCACAACTGAGTTATGTCATTTTTCGGGCTTGGAATGTAGGATGAGCAAGGGGCTGTTCAAATATAATCTGGCACCTGGAGCGGGGGGTCTTTGGCTCCTGTAAGAAAAGTGTAAGAAAGGGGGGGGGGGGTCTTGAACCAATGTAATATTACACTTTTGTGAGGTGAAAAAATAAGGTAAAAAAGGGTGGCCTTGGTCAGGAAAGGCTGCATGGTGTGCTGAGGCCACAAGGAATGTGGAAAATATCTGCTGAGAAGTCTTCCAAAAATAGGTCCTGTTCCGACTTCCTGCTCTGTCTCCTCTTCCTCCACCTCCATTTCTTCCTGTGCCTCTTCAATGCTGCAATACTAGGAAAATATATCCTTTTTTAAAAAAGTTTGGCCACATCCTGATTGAAATTTGACCAGAAGACTTTCCGATCGGGGAGAATCACAAACTCAGAATTCCTTCCGTCTATGCCTGTTGTTTGCCAGGCAAAGACGGAAATATTGGGTATAGCGGGCCCACATACGTGGCTATTCGCAGCGCCAAGCACAACAAAAGTTCTGCTGAAAGTCACATGGCTGACTTTCAGCAGATCTTGACAGAGGATTGTTTTAAAGAGCATTCCACCAATGGTGACGCAGTAAAGCATCTGGTGTTTCTCTCTGTTGATGGTGGCCTTGATGAAGCCCCCAAAAACACCAGAACTCTCTTAATGTGGGCAGCTACCTTCAAACAACTTAACTTGGATGCATGTTTTATTTTTTCACAGGCTCCAGGCTCAAGTGCATACAATCCAGTTGAGAGGAGGATGGCTCCGCTTTCAAAGATGACTGCAGGCATTATTTTACCTTTCGATTCTTTTGGCAGTCATCTTAATGCATCAAACAAAACAATTGATCCTGTATTGGAGAAAAAGAATTTTGAAGCTGCTGGTGAAATCCTCTCTCAGGTCTTTAATGAGGCAGAGATTGATGGGTACCCTGTTGTGTCTGAAGTATGTGAGGAGGTGACTGATGGTCTGAATGAGAAATGGAAGAGTGACCATGTGTTACAGTCTCAGTAGGCCTACATGTGTCAAATAGTCAAGTGTTTGGATACTTCATGTTGTCGTCCTTTCAGGACAAATTATGCAGTGTATTTTCCTGATCGCTTTTTGCCTCCCCCAGTACCTATTAAAGCCTGTGCAGAGGGATTGAAGGTTGAGAAGTCGGGCCATTTTGGCAGCCTGTTTCAGGCGCTGCACATAAATAGGATTGTTAAAACAGACTGTTTTGACAAGCATTGCCCCTCTCTGAACCAACCTGATGCCAAAGGAATGACAAAATTGCAGAAGAGAACTTGTTCTTGCTGTGGCAAATACCACTCCACTATCAAGCATAAGAATGCTCATATGAGGGTTTGTTTCAGACAAACCACAGATAGTGGCCACAGTGAAAGCAGAGTGAGTGAGAGTGAAAGTGATGGTGAGGGTGAGTTGAATGAGGAAGTGGGGACATTGGAAAGTGATCCAGGTTTGGCTGACCGCAACATTTTTGAACATATTTCTTCAATGTGGGGATATTAGGTATTAGTTTTTCCCAATGCCAGCTTTTCTATTTTGTGACACGTTTGAAACATCATTACCACCATGCATGATACAATGATCTCATCTTTTAATAATAAAGTTAAACACTATAAGTATAAATAACAACTATTCAGCATTGTTCATTTTGTTGTGTTGTCTCTATAGCTAACTGTTACTGTTAGTAGTGTTGGATGGTATTCTTGACGAAACAAATGTGCAATTGATAGAAATATTATTGATCTATAAAGCTGACCTCAGCTTGGGGGGGGGGGGGGGGGGGGTCAAACAAAAGCTGATTATAGGCTGACAGGAGGGGGGGAGGGGGTAAAAATTGGCTGAAAAAAGCTGACGTCATTAAAGAATGGTCCCTTAGGTCCTGAGCTAGTGGTGTACACACCTCCAATTACTTTGTTCACTCATTATCTCTTGTTTTGGTAACAACTTCAGAATTATACATGTACTCACTGAAATTGAGCTAACATCTTGTTACCAGGTACTTTGTAATTAATTTGTAGCTGTCATCTTCAATTTTCAATTTCTAGTACATGTAGTACAATGGATAAAGTCAACCTTGCTCAAAGTCAGTACTTTTTTTTCGGTCCTGAATTCCACTGTAATTTGTTTTATTTGTAATTAAGGCGCTTTTGAAATTGACATGAGTCTCATTTTTTTCCCTTTAGTAAGAAAGAGTGTATGCAATATTTTGCTTGAATGATCTGCTCCGTTATTTTTTTTGTAAAAATGTAGAACTGCATATATATTATTATCATGTGCATATGTATGAATCTGTGTATGTATTCCGCACAATTTACCGATCTTGTGCTGGACGTTTTAACGATCATATGATTGCGCGGCAATCTTAAGATTGTGGGCAAGTTTAAGATTGTGCTGGGCGTTTTAACGATTATATTATAATTGTATCATTTTTGTGAGCTCTTCAGTTTCATATTCTAATTTTAATTTTCATATCTTTGATTTGCACTTTTGAAAATATACGTGAATGTTTCTTCATGTGGGTAAAAGAATAAAGAAGGAAGTGAATTACATGATCGTTAAAACGCACAATCTTGTGCAGATCTGTAAATTGCGTGGAATATTATGAATGTTCTTCATAATATGTAAAGCGCATGGAACAATGCTTGTAACACAGAGTTGTGCGATATAAATGTCATATTATTAGTATTATAAGCGAACAGTGTAATATAACGGGTGTAAGAAAAGTGTAAGAAGGAGGGGGGGGGGGGTAAAAAGTCCCCAAAAAGGTGTAAGATTATATATATATATATTTGAACAGCCCCCGAGAAAAATATCTTTAATATCACCTTTCAAGTCAACAGTCCGTACACATCATCCTAGCTGGTGAAGGAGAAAACATTTTTTACAACCTAGTGGCCCTGCGGCAAGAGAGTAAACATCACGAAGACAATTGTCAATTCCTTTTGAAATGACCCGTCTTGTGCCAATAGTCCAGCCTGTTATCAATAATCTTGATTGTTCAAAGCCACAGCATGTGTTTCTGAATCCCTAATTTTATCTCTTTTATAAAGCACAATCTTTCCAAAAACAAAAAATACACCCATGCGCTTTGAAATGTAAAATGAAAAGTTTAATCACCACCAGAACATGAACACAATGACAGATATACCCCCCAGCCCAACTGCAAATCACTAGGGTCACTTTTTCTTCTTCAAAGTCTGATTGGCCCTGAGAATGTCTCCTGGGCTTGGATATGGTCTCTGCTGGAAAAGTGGACCCGAGGCAGTCACGTCAACACCTGTCTTGGCCTTCCCTCTTGTATCCAGTCCGTCCGTCCAGCCACCTCTGTGTATGAAATCCAGAGAAAACATATTTTTATAGTACAGTACACCAAAAAACCATTGTGCGAGTTTTGCTAAAAAAAACAACCCAGTGAAACTGAAAATACTAGAGAATAACTTCAGACTCCGTTGGTATTAAGATTTGTTTGAGATGACTAAACAGAAAAACAAGCTCCAGACAATTAAAAAATATAATATAAATGTGGTTTACCACCAAGGATACCTACCATTAGACAAGTTGTATGATAATAGAATGTTGTCCAGGCAACAGCTGTAAGTTTTCAATCTTCTTAGTCAAACCAACCGAGACACTTTACTGTTCTGCGTCTGTGCTGAGATGCACATCTTATCAGTAACTTCATACTGTGGACATTCCCGGCGGGCCGCCTAGGTCACTCAGCGTGTACTGTTAGTGTACAGCAAGCGGCCCTGGAAACGTATGTTTTCGCCGTGAATACCAAGGGGGTTCGTTTATCGATGATTAAATAACACTTTATCTTTTATGGCTTTCTATTTATAGTGTTACGTACATATGAATAACCCCCTCTCAATCTCATAAGCATTACTAATTGTTACACCCATTTGAATAGCCTTTTAGAAGTTCTTGTTGTTACGAATGATCTGGCGTTCCAATGGAAATATTATAAGTCAATTTCTGAAGGTTTTGCTCTCAAATTATTCTTTCTACCTGTACAATGGTATTCAAAACTATATAATAAGCTTATTTTTATCAGGTTATACAATTTTATATAAAATCAAGCTCATTTGAAAGATTTTGTACCGAAAAATTGAAGTCTTGTTTCCTGGTTATCCTTTCAAGCTCCTGATGTCTAAGTCAAGTGGGTCAATTTGTTTTAATTTCATTGGATGAACGTCAAGAGCTACCAACTTGGCGTGTTTTTAGTTTAGTTTAAGTAAGGTTTTACGGCACTCGCAACTGCATAAGGTCATTTGAGCGCCAAGGGATGGATGTTAGAGAAGTCCAAAACAGGATCAGGCCTACTTTGATCACCTCTCTCGCCTCAACAGCACAAATTCTACTTCGACTATCAAGGCACCCAGAAAATAGCAGTTCACAAGAGAGTGACAAACATACAAAAGAAGTACCGTAGAGGAAAAATGACGATAGTAACTTGTAAGGATGAGGAAAGAAAAAACAGTAGTACTCCCTATGTTGTTCCACACAGCATGAGCATGACAATGGTAAATCATTGGTGTGTTTTGAATGAGACGTACGCTTCGGTTTCAAACCAACGCAGGTGGTTCTAGAAGTAGGCAACAAATGCACACAAACTCAAGCAGACTGACGCACATACACTTGAGCAGCGGGAATAGGGGACCCGATCATCAAATGGATAATGCTTGGCGCGCATACGCTGATCCAGGGTCTGGACTGATGCGGGACCGGATGGAAGGCAAGGTGCCGAAATATGCTTAAAACCGGGGATGGGAGGATAACATTGGAACACTCACCGTGGGATGTCTGAGTACGATGCGGGGTCCATTGGGTCAAGCTCCTCTCTTTTATGTCCTGCAAAAACAAAAAGGATATAATAATACAACAAATCTAGTGTGATTGAAAAACCTGCTCAAGGACATTACACGAATTCTTGTGCTAATGTAACAATGGACATGGTCCTTCATCTTTAAACATGAAGGCAGTATTTTCTTCTTTTGGATTAACGCAATGGTTTTGAAAATCTTTGTTACAAACTTTCACACTTATGTCAGCATAATTTTAGGTAGTGCAAACACAACCTGTAAGCTGACTCCCGGCCTTCTGAGCACGTGGTTTGGTTTCGGTAAAATCTGGGTAAATCAGATCGCTGTTTCTTTGCTCTGTCGCTATAAAACACCAAACGATGTACACCATGAAAAAGTTGAAAAGTTAGGTGAATGGGATCTTAGTCGATTCATCAGGGGGAGAATCCATGGTGAATCATGGTCAGGCTCACAATCAGTTCTACCCTTACTTTGACACTTTAAAATAAACTGATGTTACCCTTGAGTGGATTAATGACCAATCACAATGGCATAAGGCATGCCATTTTCACTTAGATCTATCCAATTCCAATCATGAGTCTCAACAAGATCTACATCGATCCCTTAACTTCAGCTTTCCATCTCTGACCGGATACTCCTGCTGTAACACATTATTATTACCATTAACTGTACACTGCACCAATTAAAATCCAAACTGTCAGGCAAATTCTGGCATAGAGATGAAAGAAAACTGCGATGGTCAGGGAAATAAAGCATTGACGAACGCATAGTTCAATGTGATCCCATCTGATGCGGCCTAATGTGCCCTACCTGTGAAGCTTGTGATGCAAGTACAGCCGGGGGCTCATGAGTGCAATGTTTGGAGAAAACGAGCATGCCGACAAGTTCACACTTCAGCTTGATCCTGTTTGGGGCAAACATTGTACCCACCCATCATGATTTGCAATGGACATGTGCTCACATTCCCAGGATGATCTGTGATACACAATGGGCTGTACACTGATCAAAAATTTTCACTGCTTTGACGATCAGCTGCATGTGTCCAGGGTTTCTTTCTATAAATTATGATCTGAAAGGCAGGATCTTAGCTGAAAGTAGTCCTTCAGAGCAGATTCATAGCAGTGACTTTTGTGTAGTAAACATCCTGATTTCTGAATCTTAATCCTATCCGTACGTTGTGTTTTACTATCGTATCCATACGACGTGGGGAACTCTGTGCCACTACTTTCCAAAGCGGAAATTTACTCGTTAATCTGATGCATACGTTTTGCATAGCAGTCCGTCAAAAGATTTTTTGAGAAATACTGGAAGTTTCAAAGAGGTCTTCGTGCTAAAAGTATTCTAAAGTGTGAAGAATACAACCCCGGGGGTACAAAATGATCCCAGGGCGCATGGATAGGGTTAAACAGTGGAATCTTAGATAGAGACTTCTGTACAAATAAGGAGACAAACAGCATTCAATGTGGTCTGCCTACTTTGAATAGAAAGTGCCAAAAGGTTAAAGGGCAATCATAAGGGCTTTTGAAATACCAGTTAGAACTTCATACGAGAACAGAGTCAGTGCACAAACCTTTCCTCAGTTCTGGCACCCTTCCTCGGTCACGCACACGTCCTCGTTTGTCGATAAAGTCCTCCTCGTCAGACAATGATGTGTCACTGCCACTCTGAAATCACATGGAAAAGTGTTAGCTCAAGTCAATGCACTAAAATGACAGGAATAAGTCAAGGTTAATCAACAAAAGATGAGCAATTCTTGCACTCATTCTGTATCAACTAGTTTCTCCAAGGACAAAGACAGTCGCTTAATCTTTACTGTACGTCGGTATTTACTATGAAGGGTGTATGACGTGTACCAATTTTGGAATAGTTATTGTAACTCGTAATCGAGAGCGTTCCTAACTTTTTCCAAAATAGCAATGATTAAAGAGAGACTGGAGAGCTGTTTTGAGAAGGAAGGGTGAGTAAACTGGAAATATTACTTAGATAATGAGAATTATGTTGGAGTCTGGCTTCACGCTCAGCATGCAATTCTGCTACATGCAGAGCACGCAACCCTACTACATGCTCAGCAGCCTCCCCAGCATTAGATAGCGGGACCCTCACTCAGATAGCAACACATGTGCGTGCTAAAAATAGAACTTGCATCGTTGTGACCCAGCGTGCTTGCTTTACGTGTGTGTTGGCCTAGAGTCTGTAATTTTTTCCAGTGTGTACCATTGTGTCATTGGTACACGACGTACGAATAGGGGGTAAAAAAACGGTAATCAATTTCAAAGCCAGTAATGGCCATTGTTTCAATGTCGGGAATTGAGTACTTGAGGCATTTTTAGCTACTCATAGACGTGAACCTAGCCATAACAAAACGAAATGAAATTTAAAACATATTGTACCATTTTTGGTACACAGCGTACGGTAAAGGTTAAAGGACATCCAACAATTTAGAATCATGCCACTTAGTCTGCTGAACATCCCAGAATTTACAACAGACATACTGAGCCAAGCTAGTCATATTTCTAAGGCTGACTGTTAACTTCTCATTTGCGTTTTCAAAAACAGACTTTGAAGATACTTTCTAAATAAGTAGCATAAATCTGGCAGCTAATTTCATGTCAAGAGGATCTTTAAATCAGGAAATTTTGTATGATACTTTTAAAAGAAAAAAAAAGCCAAGGGCAAAACACAGCTTGGTGAAGCAGATGGAGCTAGTGTTCTATGAAAACTACGCTTGCCATGTAGTATAATCATAATGTGGCTGGTTCCTACTTACATCAGTCTCCGCTTCCTCCTGGACGGTCTCCATGGGCTCCTCACCATCACTGTCAAGGTTGCCAATTTTGCCAACTAACCCTGGAGGTTAAAAACATAATTTCAAACATTTCAATACTTTTTTAGTACAAAACATTCCTGCCATTCACATGGGCACACAATATCAATTTCATCATCCCAATTGACTGTACACAATGGAGCCACATCACTTATTTGACCATTACAAACCCATGTAAACTCGCAACCAAATAACAGTTGAAACTGTCTAAGATGGGCCACTCATTGTCAAGGAGAAAAGTTGCAGCCTTACAGTAAAGTGTCATTATAATTTTTTTAAGGCAAGGTGATAATGGAAAATGGCCATTTGTACAGGTTATTGTCTTATACAGGTGACCGTTAGAGCAATTTGGGCTGTGTATACATGTAAACAAACCATGGAAGATGACATTTTACAAAAATTACCCTTATTAGACAGCTCAAATGTTCAAAAGAGAGAAAAATCTATTTTTTAACATATTCGTAATAGGTACATTTTTGCTTTATTGGTGTAAAAGTAAAGTTGTTCCCGCATCTGTTCCAGACATTGGGGATTGCCTTGTTAGTGAGACAACTTCCGGAGCCTATTGTGGTAGGGTGCTTACTGGTGTACAGATTTCAATTTATCAATTTATCGAACAGAAAAAAAAAGAGTCTTCTTCCTGAAACATTTCTCTTTACCAAGGTTGATCAGATAAACAAATTATCTCAGGATTAGCTTGTGGCCTCTGCAGGACAGATTTGAACTTAATATAGTGCAGCCTCTCTATAGCGACATTGTCGGGGCCGGAAAAAAATGTCGTTATAGAGAGGAAATCCAAAATTACTAATGATATATAAGTAAAAGGGGAAAAAAATTGGGACCTGACACCACTTTGCTAAACAGAGGGTGTCGTTTTATCGAAGGTTGTTATAGAGAGGCTGCAATGTAGTAACACAAGCACAATATGGACAAGCATTATTTCTGAACGAACTGACTGCTCTTATCGTCCTACCTAAAGCTTCAGCAGACCTTGTGACTTGAGCTTTGGGATGTGAGGGAGACAACCAAGACACCTCGTCTGTGTTCACATTCCAATAATAGTAGCGGCCCCTGGAAACCAAAAATTTTTTGGAACATTTTGATCTAATGTTTTTAAAAAAAGGTTCAGCTTGTAACACAAAAGTCAGAAAGTATTGAATTAATACCCCCAAAAGAAGGAGAGCACTCAGTGCACTATACTAGCATCTGCGTTTGTTCCCAATAATTTTCAAGCTTTCAACTCTCTTATAGCAATATGTTGATAGAGGTAACAAAGTAAAGCACCAGAATTTCTTGTGCTCTGTTTTAAGCATCCAGAATATCATTTATAATTTGTAGTTGTAGTCATCCACAGGGTAAAAACATGAATAAAATAAAGATTTCACAATATAAAGAAATCAAAATGAGAATAGCACGGATAAATAAAAACAAAAATTAACAAATAAGGGTGTCCACCTATCCAAAGACTGGCTGTTTTAACCCTAAAATTCAAGAAGAAGTAGGCCTACAGGATATTACATGTAAATTATGGAATCACACACAATTGGGGCGTGCCGGTGTCAGTATTCGGTTTTGGTGGAGACACGCTCTAACATAACACATTTATATTTTTAAAAGGGTAGGAACAGCATTAAAAAATTAAATGACATTATGCTGTATAAACATGCAAAAAAAGAAAAATCATCAGAACAATTTTTAGAAAAATTAACACACCAACAAATTAATACACAAAAAAGAGGGAAAAATAAAAGACAGCAGACAGCAATATATAAATAGTATGTAATGTACTTATATTCTCTGCATGAAAATAGATACACATGGACATCTTAAAACTAAAAACTTATCAAAATACATGTCTAATATGTTATGAAGTAGTTTTGTTGCTTTGTCTTTTTTGAAAAATGCAAAAATCGCGGCCGTGATTCGCGGATGCTAGACTATAGTATAGAGATGGACCATTTGGTACAGGTGTTGGTGTTACTCCGACCGGGACAGGTCTCCTGAATTTTAGTCGCAATAACAACAGGCAATAAAATAGCAATGCCAATGAAAATTTAAATTTTCACTTTAGCCCTTTTTTATTTGGTACCTAAGAAAGAATTTTCAATTCTAAGAATTATGCTTCTTGAATTTTAAGGATCGGTTCATAAATAAAAAAGTTATGGGGTTGTAAAGATCGGCAAAATATGGATGACCCACATATAAGAAAATACTTCTAAAAAGTGGACCACGCAGTAGCAGATTCTGTAAGAAAATCGACGATATCTCGGTAACTAATCGGAGTGTTAGAGAGAAACTTGGCTACCCGATGTATTTTTGGGTGTAGAAATAATTTCTGCAGTCAGATTTACTACCCATTTCGTAGTTATTTTGTTATAATTAAAATTTTGGTGTACATATTACGATTTTGCGAAAAAGGGGTGTTGGGATGAGTCCATTTTATTTATAGCATCGTATCACAACATGGGATCTTTAAGAATATATGTCGGCAGCGTGACTAAATAATTGCAAAGCTTTTTAGGATGACTTTAGACCATGCCAACCGTAAAAGATAAGTTAATTCAATCTAGCTTGCCGCACAATTAAAAATTCTTTTTCCCCGTTGAGACGCGAACACCCCGAGACGAGATAACCTCACCTCGGAATACCCCCATTGCAATGTTACAGGGGAATAGAGAGAAAAACAACCGGATGCGCGCGTCCGCCATTGCCCTATTTCAAGTGACCAATGAACGAGCCCGGAATAGTCATGCAGGGATTGGTAGGTCACATACATTTGCCGCGAGAGTGAGGGGAAAATGGCCGGTCTCCATGCGAAGCCGCTTTGGATAGGGGGGTAGTCGTGCATTTATGATCGGCTTTAAACAACTACTTGACACAGAACGTTCAAATTTGAGCACACTATAGAGGATAGATAGATCTATTACCATCTCGGCGTTGAAATTCAAACTCCTTATAGTTTTCGGTGTACCTGATACGAAAGTGTTCCCGACACCAAAAGTATAGGTTAATTTTTGTGTACGAACTTTAACGTCCACATATCATTAGTTTGCCCCCATTTTCTGATTGGTTGCCAAGTTTCATTCAGATTGGTTCGGAAATAGAGCAGACCGAGGTTGACAAAGTTAGTCACCTACGCTTCGGCCGGGTCCGCAAAATCGCTTGCAAGCGGGGACCAAATTTTCGCCACGTGGGAAAGCCCGATTGGCATTGCTAAATAAAAAACTGATTTTCAATTATAATATCAATCTTGAAAAAACATTAGGCTCCATAAGTATGATACTGTGATTGTCCTCAGTTAATGTGAGAATGTTTTAGGCACTTGGTACTGTTCTAATGCAGTCAATTTGTATTCAGTATTCGGAATATATTAAAACTGCTGCCGTTTTTTTAAAAAATTGACAAGAGGTAACAGTATGGTACCGAAATTCTCAGGTGACATTATGCCTTTCACATTAAAAACTGATAAATTTGTTACGTAGCTATTTTGACAATCAATTCCTGGAACTTGAACTTACGTATCATAATCTCCAACTTCCACCCATCCACTTGGCAAAGGGTACTTCCGGAGCATTCTGTCTCGCCTTCTGATCACATCATCATCTGGATCCCATTCTCTCATTCCATATCTTTTGCGGCAGTAAGCAAGACATTCGTGGTAAGGATTGAGCCTGCAAAAGCAAAAAAAGTACAACTTCAAAAAGCTTTATTTCTGTATCGGGTAGTATGAAAGCATTCATAATTGACTAAGAATATGAGTCTCTCCACTATAATTATATGGTATGAAATGAAGTGAAAAGTGCAATCAATGAGAAAGAAAATGAAAGTAAATGGGCAACTTCATTCCAACTATTCCACCCACTTGAAGCCATTAAAAAAAAATTGCATCATTTTATTGAAACCTATTTTTACCTATCTTTCAAGCTGTGAAAATTTGGACAGTTCCCTATAGATGTCTGTGAGGGAAACTTGTAATTGTGACTTTCTACCATGAAAGAAGTGATAAAAATCAAAAGCACACAATTTTCTTTTGATTTTGAATACTATCACTTTTTCTTCAATTTGATAAAAACAATGCTCAAGTGTGTAACGATTATGGGCCACCTGTTGGGACAAGCTGTAGTATCAAAGAAAATGGGTCCATCCCCTGCGATGTCCAGTACAGCTTGAGGTATCGGAGCAGGAACAAGGGGCTGCGGTTGTGGAGGTTCCGGCTCTGGCTGGCTTACATTCTCCGGTCTTGAGGGATCATCATAATCTTCAGCAAACACCTCCTCAACTTCCTCTGTAGACATAAATATATTCTTATTGAAGGCCAAACTTACTAAATATGAGGAAAGCGAAATCAATTTAAACAACTTTTCCATACTTTATAACCATGACAAAATAGAAAAATTAAGGCTGAGAACAGTACTTTGAAAAATTTACCTTTGTATACAATTTGCCCATAGGTACGAGGGGCATACAAACAGTTTTTTACTTGACCATGAAGGAATAAAGGTAGAATGCTGAAATTTGGTACTAGTAAGCTTAGTCTTTCTCTATGTAGTCGCCTCCCACAGTTACACATTTTTGCCATCAGTGTATGACCTTGAAAAGATCTTGAGAATAGAGGGCCCTCTGTATGTCAAGAAACCGGCCTTCTACCGCTTCTTTGACCTTGAAGTGTATATGAAGCGTATTATTTGTTCTATTTCATGTTTGTTTTGTCTCGTTTCAGATGTCTAAAATGAGAATGTCGAACTGTGTTGATTAAAACCAAAACTTCTTTGGTCATCATTCTTTCTTTGTCATTCATTTTCACTATAATTTAATCAACACAATTCGATATTCTCATTTTAGACACATCGCTCAGCTGTGTGAACTGGCCGGCCACCCCTGTCTGCTGCATCAGTGGTTGCCTTCCTTGCCAGTGGAAGTGTTGCGACTTCTGTGGTGTCACTGTCTACTGTCTGCCTGAATAGTGTAAGCAGATTATATTTGAAATCAACATGTTGCCTGGCAGTCTCGGTTTCGTCAGGTCAACCACATGGGATGGGAAGGCAGTGTCCAACGTTTTGTCACTAAATCACAAGCACCGAAATTGTCACCAGCCTCCAAACTCTGCAAACTCCAAACTTATTCCGATGTATGTTCATGCCCGACTGTAGTAACTTTTTATTCTAAGTTACACATCAACCCTCCTAACCTAGACAACAAATTGCAAGCTCATCTGATTCCATCACCTTCTCCAATGATCAAACCTAAACATTATATTTCTACCACCTAACGCTTAAACATACTCTAGCCTCCAAATCATCTGAAGTTCATCGAAACTTAACTTACTTACACTTGTTGACATCCAAAGCTGGCTTTTTCGACCATATCTCAATTTTTAATTTTTTTTAAACGAAAAGAGTTGATTTGGGGATATCAAATCTCTTGCAAATTTTTGGCTTAGTGCGGGACTTCTTTTTTCAACCCCTGTACCGTGTGAGGAAGCAAAGGCAAGAGAAAAGAAGAGTGCTGCTGATGAGTCTTACAACTAAAATAAAACTGTTCAAATGTCAAATCTCAATCATGACGTAGTAACCACAATGTTGGGCAGAGCCTTCACCTATAATCCGTGTAATCATTTCCTGATCCATACCTTCATGGGGTATGTCTTTTTACCGAAACTCACGAGACTCATTGAAACTAGGCAACAAAACTCACCGAAACTGTCAATTTCTGTGTGACTGAAACTCACCAAAAGTAGTTGGCCCTCAGAATTTTTTGCTACCTTTATATAGAGCTACTTCACTAGCCTCGTCAGTGTGGACTTACTAACGGTAAGTTGTTTTTTTAAAGATTAAAATAAAAATATCTCTCTCTTTGTATGTGTGCGTGCTTACGTGAGAGAGAGAGAGGGAGAGAGAGAGAGAGAGAGAGAGACAGAGACAGAGAGAAAGAGAGAGAGAGAACCTTAAAGTTTGCAGAAAAAATATTATTTTAGGCCAATATATTACACGTCTGTCTCTTCTACACATCTTTCATTTTACGTTGAATGATATTTTCCGTTGTTGTTTTTTGTCTTTTATTAATAAGCATTTTATCTCACTTTCTTCTTCTTCTTCTCCGCCCTTAACATTTATCTTCATGATAAAAGAATGTTCTCTCCACTTCTATGATTAAAAAATTAGATATCTTAAGTACCATACTAAAAGACTGAAAGCGCTCTATGTTTCGCGTTGTCATTCCTTCTCCTTCTCCTCGATTTCCCTTCATGTCAAAAAGTGCCCATCTACATCAAATTAGACCCCCCTCACCTGTCTCTCTCTGTCCGTCTGTCTGAATATGATTTTCAGCGCTCAATATTTAGTACGAAATGGATAACTGGTAGTGGTAGCTAAGTGTGAGACGGGAGGGAAGACAAAAAAATATCAATTTATATACAAAAGTAGTCTACAACAAAGGTAACATTAAAAAAAACTTTAGATCTAGATTCTAGGATCGAAGTGACTTGGACTCGAGTCCGAATAGAGAGAAATTATATTCAGACTCTGAATTGAGTCCAGCTTGACGTCCGTTCCGACTTCCGACCCTTGTTCCTCAATCAATATTTCCAGCATTTACGAACATTTTTTCGATTATAAATTTATAATGATTTAAAGAGTTGAGACGTGAGCTTTAATATCCAGTTACTAGATCTATCTAAACTGGCCCTCCCTGCATCATTGGTATGAACAGAACGATTAAGTAGAGCTGACCTTGCCGGGGGCAAAGTTAATTATGTCGACCAATGAGACTGCACGTAGCGATCTCGCACTCTCGGCTTGCTAGGGGAAGAGGTGTTTGAAAGGGGCCAGCGCAGCTGTTGGTTTTGTGCGATGTGAAAGAAAAGAAAATTACAGAAAAACTGTAGCACAAAACAAAATGAAATAAAACACACATATAAGGAAAGAAAAATGGTGGTGGAAGTAATGATGATGCTGTAGTAGTGGTGGAAAGACCCTGAGTTGTCCGTTACTGTGTACTTACACTGCCATTGGGTAGATCTCATGTCATTGAAAATGCAGTGTTTTGACTTTTGACACAATTTATACAATCCTAGTAGTCAATTCTAGTTCTAATTCTGGTGTTACGAAAATCCCCAGACGACAGTTATATTATGGAAGTGGCTATCCTCACCTGAAGTGAGAATAAAAATATGATCGACCTCTCACTCCGGGTGAGACTTGCCAACGTTGGCTATACTCACCCAGTGTGAAACAAGACCTGTTTTTCCTAATTTTGGAATATTTTGGTGTGGATGATCAAATTGATAAAAGCAAAAGAAAAATGATGTTATAGATCTAGCACACAAGTAAGCTAATTTGTTCGTCTATAAAGATACTATGGCTATTTCACTTTTCAAATCGAGCCGAACTATGCGGGTCGCCATTTTGTTTTGCCCGGAAGTTCTCACAAGATCTGCTCCTCCCCTCTCTCTCTCTCTCTGAATACTGTCTATCGGTGTGGATGATCAAATTGACCAAAACAAAGTTAAAAAATGATTTTAAAACACAAAAGTAAATTAATTTGGTCATCTACAAAGATGCTACGGCTATTTAACTTTTCTAATCGAGCCGAACTATGCTGGTCGCAATTTTGTTTAGCCCGGAAGTTCTCGTGCTTCTCTCCTCTCTCTCTCACCACTGCCCACAGACAAAATTGCACGCTTTTAGGCTAACAGAAGTGATGGAATGTTTGTTCATGGCACAGAATTCTACAATTCTGTTTTATCACAGTGTAGAATTCTGTGGTTCAGGGCGAACGCTTCACTGGTTGGCGTAGGCTAGGCTATAACGGTGAACGCACACCAGGTGAGAATAGCCAAAAGACTCACCTGCGTTATTCGGTGCTTTTTCGGTAGTTCCCACCCCCCTTATTTGAGCCTGACCTACTTCTAGATCTAGATCTATACGTTTGATTCGCGGTGAGCTAAGATATCACACCTAACAACAGCAAAACATTAAATTGTGGTAAAATTCAGGGGGGCATGCCCCCCTGAAACCCCCCTTCCTATTTTTGTTAGGTCAGGGGCCCCCTGAAACCCCCCTACTCTTGGTGCTAAAACCCGTGAATAACAATTGCGGGGTGGGAACTACTGAAAAAGCGCCCGCTATTCTCACCCAGGGCCAGGGTGAGAATAGAGGTGGCCTATTATCTATAATATTATCATCATGTAACCTCCTTACACTCCCCAAGACTCAATCTGAGTCCGAATAAGTAAAACATTTTTTCGATCCAGAGTCCAAATAGATAAAACCTGAATAGATAAAAATTATATTCGGACTCGAGTCCAAATAGAACTCCCTTCTAGGACTCAATTTAGGTCCTATCGATAATAGGTAAGCAAAACCCGCAATTATATCTGACATGCAAAATTGCAACCGTTCCAAGAGATTCAGAAGTTTGATTACCAGGCTTCGTTGATGTCTTAGTGTCTGGTTTTGCTTCAACAATGCCTCTCTTGGAAAGCCGAGCCAACAGAGCTGCTGGCAGCGGCATTTCGCTTATGAATCAGTTGATAATCCACTAAAAATACTCAAAACAATACTTTGCAAACTCTTTCGTCAACTTTCTGCTCTTTCAAACAGAAGAGTCAAAAGGCAAATAATTTTGATTTTAAAAGTTAAAGAGCTTCAGTTCTTAAACTGTTTTCAATATATTCGTTTTCCTCTTATTGCTTCAAAATAATACAAAAATGCCTTCGTGTGAGGAAACGAGGTGCAGGGTGGTGACAAGTTTTCAAGACAACAAAAAAAAAAAGAAGAAAAACCAAGGTGAAGGTGTACTTCCACAAATATACATGTACTTGCTAGAACTTGGGCATCAGGATGTAACTGACTTAGACCGATCAATAATAACAGGATTAATTCTCTCAGTTTTAGGCTAAGGTTGTCAAACTGGTTTCGGTTTTTCATTCATCAATGCCCACTTTGATGATTTAATTTTTCTCCTGTAATTTCTCTTATACAAAAATTAAAGAAACAAAAGTATTATTTTTCTCAGAGGATAGGTCTAGGTTACAACAGCTTACTGAATTTTAGGCCTTCACACCACAAGGGTGCAACTCATAAAGTTATTACGTTAGCTTCAGGCCTTAATGAATTCTTAACACTCTGGAGACGGGGGTTGGAGGTGGAGGACAGATTGCCTTATTGTCACAATGTCATTTTTACATGAAAGAATAAAATTGATGTCAGAAAGCATATGGCTACATTTTTGCACTCATGCAGTTGACTATTCCGAGTATTCCCAAGTTTAAAGATACAAACAAGCAAACTTAGACACAGGCACACACACACACTCACACACACACACACACACACAC